CATATCTAATAAATACATGTCTTACATGCCCAATTTTATACATAACTTAATATCAATTTAAAGTACACTTCAGGAATTTTACAACACAGACAGAGCATTGCATTACAAACACCGATGAAAGCCCACCGATTCCAATATCCAGCATCCAGGTACAACTGCACGTTATCCCACACGACACCTCTCAGCCCAAAGTCTCCGGAATGAACAGTGCCCGCCTGTTGGATCCGTACTTCCCTCAAGGACAGCTTGGCCCCTGTTCAGGTTTAAGAGGGTTTGCATTTATTTTTGTAGAATAACGGTTGTTCTTTATCCCTTTTTACTGAATGTTTTCTTTTTTATATGTAGGAATTGTTAGAGACTGAACAAATTAATTAGCTTTATCTTTGTTTTCTTATAAAATAGTTCCCCTTTTAACAGTTGTCTATCATCTTCTACACAGTATTTTGTTACATACATTCTTTTCATACTAAATTTTAACAATAATTATTATGTCTTCTAGTACTTTAGTCATGGCTAGGAAAGGTATTATAACATTTTCTTACTTCTTAAGTATTTTTACAGTTTCATGTGAAACCACAGCCACACTGATCTCACATTTCTGTATTTCAATTTCTTCGTTTAAAATGTGGGGGTAGCATCAACAACACTCAATTATATAATTCTGTGCACTGCATTTAAGACAGAGGCGTCAGTGCGCGCTGCTCGGCCGTCTGCTTTCACAGGTGGTGACATTCCTTGGAGCTGCAGCTCCCTCTCCACGCTCGCTCTGCAAACCGGCGGCGAGTTTGCCACACTCCTAGGACATGCTCCTACCGTGCCTCCGAACATTCTATTTTCTACCTATTATTTATTTCTCTGAATGGCTATCATATAACCTCTCTGAAGAGAGGATTGTACTGATTTCTTCTATGTCTACCCACTGAGTATAAACTGACATTATACACTGATAGGAAATATGTTAATCATTCAGATTTATGAAGGTAAAATTTAACAATATAATTATTTTTTAAAAATATTTATTCATTTATTTGAAAGTCAGAGTTACACAGAGAGAGGAGAGGCAGAGAAAGAGAGAGGTTTTCCATCCAATGGTTCACTCCCCAACTGGCTGCAAAGGCTGGAACTGCGCTGATCCAAAGCCAGGAGCCAGGAGCTTCCGCTTTGTCTCCCACACAGGTGCAGGGGCCCAAGAATTTGGGCCATCTTCTGCTGCTTTCCCAGGCCATAGCAGAGAGCTGGATGGGAGGTGGAGCAGCCAGATCTCGAACCGGTGCCCATAAGGGATGCTGGCACTTCAGGCCAGGGTGTTAACCCGCTGTTCCACAGCACAGGCCCCAACAATATAATTCTTATAAATATTTTAATTGTGTTGCATGCTCAAATTTTTCTTTAGTTTGCACATTTTGTATCTCAAGAAATCATTAACCAAAGGTCACAGAAATTTTCTACTTTAAATTCTTCTGGGTATTCTGTTGTTTTATCTCTTGTATTTGGTCTACTTAGTATTTCAAGACCTATTTAGTATATGTTAGGTAAGGCTGGCATACCTTTTATTTTTCGCATACTGCTTTCAAATGATTCCAACACCCTTTTTTAAAAAAAATCCTTTTCCTAATGAATTACCTTGGATATAGAAAGTAAACTACTCAGCCCGTAACTTACTTACTTCAGATCTCTTGTTCACGTTTGTAAAACATGTGAAAACACATTCAACTAAAATTATTTTTAACTGGAGATAAGTACTTTCTGAATTAGCTTCACATTACCAGGGTTTTCTCATTGTCTTTTAGCTGTTTCAGTTCAGCTATTCACACTTGAGAGGACTCACAAGCTGGCATGAGATTTCACGGGAGGAGGACACACCCTGAAGTCACAACAACGCAGGGTCACTCTGTGGGCTCTGCCTGTAGCTCCCTGTATGCACAGTCTCTTAAGTTACAAAATGCAGGTAATTCCCATTTCCTAAAGTTAGGAAAATGTGGGCTGGGGTGCGCGCTGAGCACCCTTCTTAAATGGGTGTCTCGGTTTCCCAAGATACACGGTCCTGCCCCGGCTTTGAGACATTTTTCACCAAGATTACGCATGGATCCAATCTAGAGTTTCTTCAACTATTTAAAGGAATTATCAAGCAGAATTTGCCTCTTCTGTACTCCTAAGTTGCTTTGCTTTGCCTTGACCTAACTGTGCCATCGGTGCTGACGTGATGCTGGGGCTCACGCCATCTCCTTTGTTGCTGCCAGACATGGAACAGATGCTGGGCAGAGCTCCTGACCTGAGGTCACTGCGTGGCCCACATGCATCTGCAAAAAGGTCAGTGTACACATACACTGGAGAGGATCACGTGCAAGCAACAGCAAACAGACTGAAACAGAAGTAAAGCTTGCATCACACAACGTCTCCCCCGACAGGACCCAGGGTTTACAGACGGCTCGGGGCAGAATTAGAAAGCTCAGAGCTGGCACTGACTTCTCAAGGCAGCCTCTCTGGGGCTGGTTCACGGCGAACCTATCAGCTGAGTGAGTGTGCAGATCAGAGTGACGGGGTCTGCAGAAAGCCCGTCGCGGGAGGAAGCCTACATCGTAAAGTGACATCTGATTGTCACCGGCCCGTTCAGCTCCCTCTTCCATGGAAAACAGGCAAGTTCATCAGGAGTACTGCACAGCCCGAGAGACGATGCCAGAGTTTCTGGTCATGGATCTGCCACTAGCCCTACAAGAGGACACACTTGACGCTACTTGGTCCTCACAGGGGTCTTAGCTAGGGCCTCTCCACAGCTGAGCTTCACCAGAAGAGAAAATGGCTTCTCACTAACAACCAGTACTCTAGGAAGGGACACCTATGCCAGACTTCATGGCATTAAGATTTGGAGGAATCCAGGCTAAATACTTACTATTGGTGTACACAGATTTTAGGAGAATACAGACATTCTTATTATCAGACAGGAGCCACAGGAGCATCCATAATGGAAGACACATATGGAAGAGACTGCGGGAACCCTTCGAAGGAATTTTTATGTAATTGGATTTTTGAAGATCTATGTAAATTCCCGTGCGGTAATAAATACTACCACGCGGCCCCACAAGCCCTGGTCATTCATAGAAGAAACAGAAAGGGCCCTCCCCAGCTGGCTAACAGGCACCCCCAGGACCAGCCGACACCACGCCTCACAGGGAAAACTGCACACCCCAGCCCTGCCCCTCACCTCGGGAACATTCTTAACACAGATTGGAAATTCTAAATACCTGCTAGGAGTGGTCAGGGAGGATGAGTGCGTCCGTAAAGAAGTAAACTGTTTGTGGATGACCAGATTTTGTGTACAGGGGATCCTTAGTACACACACACACACACACACACACACAGTGACCATACACAACTACGGCAAAGCTGCGTGATGTAAGATCAATACATAAAAATCAATTATAAATCTACACTACCAAAGACAATTTAAAAATGAATTTTAAGAAGACAGTCCCTTGCAACACTATCAAAAACAGCAAAACACCCTGCATACATTTGAAAAAGAAGCAAAAAACTTTTATTATGAAAGTTACAAAATGTAGTTGAAAGAAATGAAAAATGTAAGTAATTAGAGGAGCATGCAAGATTCAACACTGCTTAAATGGTGCAACTCCTCAACTGGGCTGTGCATTCAATGGGGTTCCCTCCAGAACCAACTGACCTCTCTGCAGAAGAGATCAACACACATATTCTAAATCACTTAGAATCGTAGGGGGCCTAGAACAGTTGACACAGTCCTGAAAAGGAACAAAATCAGGGAATTCAGACTTCCTGACTTCAAAACTTACCATAAAACATACTCCTGGTTCAAAACACTAATCAAGACAGTGTGGTGCCAGCACAGTAGGTAGGCACATCACCAGAGCAGAATCACAGGTCTAGAAAAACCACACACATATGGCCAAGTGATTTTCAACAAGGGCACAAGACCACTCACACAGGCAGAGAGAACACCCCCTTCAACAGACGATGCTGGGAAAATGAGGGCCACCAGCAAGGGAGCAAGGTGGGCTCTTCCCTCCCAGCACACAAAAACTAAGTTGAAATGGGTCAAGACTGACACATGAAAGCTAAAATTATTAAATATTCAGTTAAAAAGCACCTTGAATCAATCAAACATATCTTGGGTATGAAGCAGAAGCATAGTGACAAAAGAAAAAATTACAGTAACTTAATCTTCATAAAAATTTAAAATGTGTATGATGCAAACAATATCTAGCAGAGAGAAAAGAAACCCCAGGAAATCAGAAAAAATACTTGCTAAAAGTATCTCTGATGCTATCCTGCATATATAAAGTATTCTTTCAACTTACCAAAAAAATATAAACAACCCAATGATGAAGTGCGGAAAGACTTTGAATACACACTTCTCCCAGAGGACATGTGGACAGCAGGCCAGTGAAATGATTCACAACATCACTGGTCATCAGAGAAAAGGAAGTCACCAAAACTGGGACCACCCTCGTCCACCAGGACACTCAGAGAGGAATGACGTCACCAACACTGGGACCACCTCGTCCACCAGGACACTCAGAGAGGAATGACGTCACCAACACTGACCACCCTCGTCCACCAGGACACTCAGAGAGGAATGACGTCACCAACACTGACCACCCTCGTCCACCAGGACACTCAGAGAGGAATGACATCACCAACACTGACCACCCTCGTCCACCAGGACACTCAGAGAGGAATGACGTCACCAACACTGACCACCCTCGTCCACCAGGACACTCAGAGAGGAATGACGTCACCAACACTGACCACCCTCGTCCACCAGGACACTCAGCAGAGGAATGACGTCACCAACACTGACCACCCTCGTCCACCAGGACACTCAGAGAGGAATGACGTCACCAACACTGGGACCACCCTCGTCCACCAGGACACTCAGAGAGGAATGAGGTCACCAACACTGACCACCCTCGTCCACCAGGACACTCAGCAGAGGAATGACATCACCAACACTGACCACCCTCGTCCACCAGGACACTCGCATAGGAATGACATCACCAACCCTGGGACCACCCTCGTCCACCAGGACACTCAGCAGAGGAATGACGTAACCAACACTGACCACCCTCGTCCACCAGGACACTCAGAGAGGAATGACATCACCAACACTGACCACCCTCGTCCACCAGGACACTCAGAGAGGAATGACATCACCAACACTGGGACCACCTCGTCCACCAGGACACTCGCAGAGGAATGACGTCACCAACACTGGGACCACCCTCGTCCACCAGGACACTCGCAGAGGAATGACGTCACCAACACTGGGACCACCCTCGTCCACCAGGACACTCAGCAGAGGAATGACATCACCAACACTGACCACCCTCGTCCACCAGGACACTCAGAGAGGAATGATATCACCAACACTGACCACCCTCGTCCACCAGGACACTCAGCAGAGGAATGACGTCACCAACCCTGGGACCACCCTCGTCCACCAGGACACTCAGAGAGGAATGATGTCACCAACACTGGGACCACCTCGTCCACCAGGACACTCAGAGAGGAATGACGTCACCAACACTGACCACCCTCGTCCACCAGGACACTCAGAGAGGAATGACGTCACCAACACTGAGACCACCCTCGTCCACCAGGACACTCAGAGAGGAATGACGTCACCAACACTGAGACCACCCTTGTCCACCAGGACACTCAGCAGAGGAACGACATCACCAACACCGAGACTTCCCTGCGTCCATGAGAACATAGCAGAGGAATGACATCACCAACACTGACATCACCCCATGTACAAGAGAACACTCAGCAGAGGAATGACGTCACCAACACTGGGACCACCCTGCGTCCATGAGAATACAGCAGAGAAATGACGTCACCAACACCAACATCACCCCGTGTACAAGAGAACACTCAGCAGAAGAAACCAAATCAGTAACATTGTGCCCTCCACACACTGGTGAGAGTGATGGTGATGAAGATGAGGACAAGGGCAGGTGAGGATTGGTGGAGACCTTGACGCGTCACTGACCCAGATGGATGGAGGAGCACTGATCTGGAAAACCAGTGAGCAAGTGCTGCGCAGCGCAAGAGCGCGACCACACAACCTGGCTCGTCCACCCGTAGACACACTCTGAGAACGGAGACCATAATACAGGAATGCTCCCAGCACAGCTCTCTCAACACAAGACAAAGGGCACAAAGCCCAGGTGTGTATCAGATGGAAGCAGAAAAGCAAAGTGCGCTCACATAAACCATAGGAGCCATAAAAGAACTCAAGCCCACCGCATCCCACAGCATGTCTGAATCCCACACGCACCCCGTGTGACAGAATCCAGACCCAGGAGGCTGCCTGTGCAGATTCTACTCACAGGAACATGGAGAACAAGAAGCCGGCACAGCGCTTGCAGGAGGCAGGGAAGCAGGGACTGCCCAGTGGGTCAGCCCTCGCCCAGGGCAGGGGAGCAGCGGAAGTTGTGGGACTGCCGGAGCTATGTGTTTCCTTCTAACGGTCACACAGTGTCTCAGCACTGACTGTGGGGGTCTCACAGCCCTGTCAATGTATTAACCAGAACACAACAGTACACCTTAAAGGTCTATGAATTATACCCCAGGAAAGCTGCTACTGAAGGTAGAACAAAATAGAAATAATAGTTCGGTTAAACAGATTTGTATGGGAAGTACATCTTTAATGAACATGTGTTTTTATTTTGTCCAGTGGTTTTCAGAGTTTTTCCTTCTCTACATTATCTACCTACACAATAAGCTTCAGTAACATGTCCCATTTTCTACAGGGTGTACAGCATTGATTTAGTCTGTCTTATACCATAAATCAAGATAGGAAATTATGTACCAATTGTCTTATTAATATTACACAGAGAATTTTTACTCTAAGTAAAGGCAAGGTCATTGAGGCATATTTTGTCTAGAATTATAGAAATGGCAAATTAATTTTTTAACTTGATCTTATATCTGAACTTAATATAGTATTTCATAAAATCCTGAAAACCGATGAATAAGGTGACAAAACATCATCTGGTCCTTCTCAGACTTCAAGCTCAGCACATGCAGAGCTGTGCAGCATCGTGCAACAGGACGTCCCTCGCTGAACAGTGACCGCCCAGAGGCAGGTGGGCACGCGTCATCCTACAGCCAGGAAGACGTTACAAAAGGACATGCTTATCTGCAAGCAGCACACCTCAGAGAAGCTGCGTGGATTCCGATGGCGCCGGGCTGGTTCTGTTTTCTTTGTTAATTGTAAACCTTGGCTTATCAGCAACCTCAGCACTCTGACAATTTTTGTATTTCTTAGAAAAATAAGCTAAGTCATCACAGAACATTGAACATTTGTATAAATGCAGTAAACATGGCCTGGCTGATAGGAAGCAGGCAAGTCTAGCTGAGAGGGACCATCCCCAGTGCAGGAAGGGCCGACCACCTTCAGTGGTTCAGCGATGTTTTTGTTTGTTCTATGTCTAATGCAGGAGTTCTGTAAGAGCTCTTTAATACCACCGTTGTATGTTGTACCAATCACGTCCAGTGGGTGAGAAATAATTCCCATCAAACTTTCTAAGTGAGTCGTGTCCTGGATTTGTCTCTGTCAACTGACGCTTCTATTGTAAATGTCAGTTTGTTGAGAGTGGAATAATCAGATTTGCCTAGGAGACGCTCACTCCCCTAAGATGCACGGCCTGCAGCCCAAGGCCACCACTCAGTCTGATTTCTCCAGCACTTGGCCCTTAGAGGACCGCGGCACCAAGGAGCTCAATGAGCACAGTCAATCGATTACTGTCATTGGATCCAGATGCAAATCCAGCTATGAAAGCATTTCTGGTTTCCCCTCCTGGGGCCCAGGACACTAGCGATTTTGCATCACTCTAACAGGCCCAGTGTGGGCACAGCTGCCCCAGAAGATCACTGCTGTGGGGATGGGGCAGGAGAGCCTGAAGCAGTCTGTGGCCCCACCTCACCCACTGCCTGCGGCCACTGGCCTAGGCCACTCCCCTGATCTAAGCAGGGCACCCGATTCAGCCAGGATGTGGAAAGGACAATGGGCACCTGAGCCACTGACACAGCCGACGGAAGGGACAGGGGCTGCACAGAGAGAAGACAGGCAGCAACGTGTACTGTCAAAAGTCAATCAGGACAGCAGCCGGTGTGGTGCGAGAGGTTGGGCCGCTGCTATGATGCTGCCATCCCACATGGTCACCAGCTCATGTCCTCGGTGCTCCACGTCTGACCCAGCTCCCTGTTAAAGGCCCGGGAAGGCAGTGGCAGATGGCCCAAGAACCATGTGGCAGACTTGGATTCGGCCTGCTCCATCCATGGCTGCTGCAGCCATTCAGGGAGTGAGCCAGAGGATGGAGGATCCCGCTCTCTCTCTCTCTGTTTCTTCCTCTCTGTGACTCCAGCTTTCAAATAAATAAATCTTTAAAAAAAAACAACCTGGAGCAGGACAGAGGCACAGCTACAATGGAGACACTGTTTTGGGGAACACAGCGCGTCACCTTGGGACTGTTCTTCCCCAGGGACATCGTCTGTGCGTGCTCCCCTCTGAAAACTGAGGAGACAGCGCCCCACATTCTCCACCAGAGATGCTTTTTGTGGGTTTCTGTCCCTTGCCATCTGTGGATTAAATGTTGAAGCGAGCTCTGTCATTCAAAAAACCTGCAGACATTTCTATTTTCCTTCTTGACACACACACAGAACTGTCATGGAAACTTCACCGGGGCAGACACGGCCCTCCTAGGACTTGAACAGTCCCCTTCCATGGGGACCAACTATTCCAGATACCCTGTGCCGTGGGAGCGACCCTGAGGCTCCTACAGCAGTGTTCCACAGAGCAGGGTGACACTGGGCGCTGGGCATGGTCCCGTCACGACGGAGCCGCAGTTCGCTTCTGCTCACCGGGTGCTAACGCTGTTTCCCCATCAACACGCCCTGGGCCCAGACCCACATGGAAGGTCTACCCTCTCCCCCACTGAAGGAGCACGGCCATCCCAGGGTGGGTCCGGGCCCTGTCCTGTGCCCTCCGCCTGCCTGTGTGTCCTCACATCGCAAACTCAGAGTAACAGGGAATCCTGAAACCAAGTCAGGAAATTCCCCCAACGTGTTCTCTTCCAGAAAAAAAACATTTAGGCTGCTGTGTTTTTCATTCCTTAGAACATTTTAAAATTAGCTTATCATGCTCGCCCTCCACTCCTCCCAAGCACAACCTGCCAGACCTCACCTGAGGCTGCTCGGGGAGTGGAACCCGATCCCCGCAGAGGCCCTGGTGTCCTCAGCGTGAGTCTACAACCTGTCCGCAAGGCTTCTTTCTCTTTTACTTTGGGGTTGGGTTTCATTTCTCACGTTTTGTACATTTCAATGTACAAAGCCTAACATTTTCCTGAATTTGAGTGTTTTTAAAAACGGTATATACACTGCTTATAAATACAAGCCCCGCTATGCGCACACGTTGGTCACATACCCTGTCTGAGTGCCTTCCTGTATGAACTGCTTCTCACCCTCGATCCGGCTATCGAGAAATGGAAAAGCTTCTGCTTCTTTCCCTCCGTCTGCCCCAGCCCCCTCCAGCCCCAGCTCTCCTGTCCTGGATCCTAAGTGGCCCACCCCAAGGTGACAGGAGGTGGCGGAACGCACATCCTTGTTTCGCGCCCAGTCAGAGGTGGGAAAAGTGCGGACTTCTGCCACTGAAGTGTGCGTCTCTGCCTGTGTCGCACTGGGGCTGGGCAGAGGCCTGCAGGAGCACGCGGCATTCACCTGCTGTGCCACGCCAGGGCAACCCTAAGCCCACCATCACCATCGGTGTTCAAATGCTAAACTCACTCTGCAGCCCTGAGGGCAAGCAATACCACTGCCCCCAACAGCACATTTGCAATGGACGCTGGTGTTCACTGTCTCCTCTCACACAGGACTCCCGCACCGTCATCCTGAGGAGTACTGAACCACGGCCCTCTTGTTGATGTCTGGTTTCTGTACAGAGAAAGAAATTAAGATCGTTTTCCTATCTTTGAAAGAGCAATAGAAAGAAAGATAAGAGCCAGACAGAAATCCCCCATTGCTGGTTCACTCCTCAAATGTCCACAACAGCCAAGGCTGGACCAGGCCAAACCCAGGAGGCTGGACACCATCCTGGCGTCCGACGTGGGTGGAAGGGACCCAGCACGTAGGGCCTTAGCAGGGAGCTGGGTCAAACCCAGCAGCCGGGACTTGACTCAGCACTCACAGGGAATGCAGGTCCCACAAGTGCAAGTGGCCACTCAACCCTCTGCACCACAAGGACAGCCACACCAGTTCCTCAAAGACCCCTTCCTCCCTCCCTTCAGTTAAATTTCTTTAGAAGAAAGGATTCTTCTGGTAGATACATGACAACAAATACAGAAGAAGTCACTTCACAGAAACAGGAGCCCTAACTGTTTCAGTCTAACAAATTGAGAGTTTTTATGCTTGTTAGTTCAAAAAGGGTATCAAAAGGGGAGGGAGGTGAAGGGGTACCAGATCTTTCCTGATCAGTACGAGTTTTTAACCAGAGTCTTTACAATGCCATCTGCTATGTGCACACAGCTGCATGCCACGTAACCAGGAGCACATTCTGAGAACCTGTTGCCAGGTGACTCCGCCATGGTATGAACTCACACCAACCTGGCCGCCACACAGGCTGCACACATGGGAACAGAGTGGCACAATGCAAACCAAGCACAGGGGAACTGTGTCATCGGTTTACACAACCTGCTGCTGACAGACCTGTGATGAGAAAGCACGTGGCGACACAGCAGGCACACGTCCATCTTCACCTTCCGGAAGCTTCTCCAGCTGACACCGACACTGTGGAAGCAAACCCCACCAGGGGCTCCTGTGCCCCCAGGGAGCTGGGAGATTTCGGGTCTGAAGTGTGCACAGGCATCCAAACTGCAGACTCTCCCAACGGGAGCTCATGCGGCAGCGGTCAGTGCCTGGGCAGAGGCCCTGACCACAGGGGTTGGGGTAGCACCCCTCAGCCTCAGAAAGGCACCTGCTGGGGACTGTGGTGCTCCCACTGGACACGGCTCATGCCACGGCAAGCGGCACAGAGTGGGGAGGACTGGCGCTTTTTGTACAAACAATCCAGCTACTACACACTTTCAGTTGGCATTAGTACAAACAGAAAAACAGCCAGCGAGCTGCACCCCAGGACTATTCTCAGGGCTCTGGGGGTGCACTCCCTGCTGCCCACAGGCTCAACTCCAGGCAGGCCTGAGATTCCAAGGGCCGGCTGTTGGTCAGGGGACCTGTATTTGGAAAAGCGCACCCTTAAGTTCTTCATTACCTTGAATGCTGGAAAGTTCCCACGAAAAATTCCAGACTAACAACTTCACTGCCGTAGATTTATAGACTGGACTTCCCCACTCTGCATAAAGAATTGATAAGTGATCGATGATTCCCCACAACATACGGCGTAATCAATATGACATTTGGGAATGGATAGAAAGACATTAATAATGCACATTTTATATACAGGTCCCTTCTTAAAGATTAAGAGCTCTCTAAATCACGCTGGAGCTGAGCTGCAACTAGAATAGGAAAAAGACTCGCTGTACGGTAAAAGCAGTATTCAACCTAAAGACGATAAAAAATGTTTACAACATTTCAGGTCGCTCTAAACAGACCAAAACTACTTGTTAGTTCTTCATTTCATGATGTCGTTCTGAAGAATGATGAACGCAGTCATTCTGCTAATCACTTTACTAATGATCCCAAGGGAAGTTGTATGTGTATAAACTCTGATGGCTTGCAGAAGAAAAGGGAAATCAGCCGTGGCCTACAGCACACAGCTCGGATGCTTCCTTCCCCGTGACGATTCCACCCGGCCCTCCCGACGTTCACTGCTGAGGGGTCAAAGCTGTGAACAGGCCCTTAGCTCTTAGCGTGAGATGTGCGCACTGCAGGTTACTTCCAGAGGGAGCCCCCGGGATCTCCCCTCGACAGCTGGGCAGGGAGAGCCTGAGGCATCAGCTGCCAGCTCCTCCCTGGACTGGGGGCTCTGGCCGCACCGGCCGCTCCCCCACAGCAGCACTGCCCGCTGCGCCGCTCCTCTGAGCTGTGTAGACCTGCGCCGCTCCTCTGAGCCGTGTAGACCTGTGCTGTTCTTGGCCTCAGAAGGAGCTTCTCCGCCAAGACCCACAGGACTTCTCCTTACAGTAGCAGGAAAAGCTGATCTTCTTCAAGAAATGATTTGTGCTTCTTGTAAAACACACTCTGTCCTTCACCGATAAACTGCATTCATGGTTTATCAATAATAATGATATGAACAGAAGATTATTCTGTAAAATGGATTTTGGACTTTAACCTTTCCTCTAGATTTATGCTCTCCACTTGTAATTCCACTGAATCTGCAAATATTTTGGGGGATGCCTCATACTTCATTTTTTGAATGATTCTTCATACAACTAAATGAGAACTTTGTTTTCTTTTTATGAGCTATGGCTCGTAGAAGTACAGTTTCGGTCTGCAGTGCGCAGTTAAAGATCTGCTATTGTGCATCAACTGTTAGGGTGCGTGACTGAAATTCCTTGCGTGGAAGTCTTCAGGGGCTTCCACACTCAGATAAACACCCCACGGCAACTGACTCAGAACACCTGGTCTAAAATCTCATCTAGCTACCATATACACATTCAGCTCTTCTATACATTTTGGTAAAATATTGATGTGACACATGAAAAAAACAAGTTCACACAGAAAATGCGATCATAGACATGAGAGGAATGTGGGGTCTTCTTCTGAGTGAATGGGGGTCTACACTCCAGAGTCCCTGCTTCCCTGAGCGGTGTGGGGGTCTACACTCCAGAGTTCCTGCTTCCCTGAGCGGTGTGGGGGTCTACACTCCAGAGTTCCTGCTTCCCTGAGCGGTGTGGGGGTCTACACTCCAGAGTCCCTGCTTCCCTGAGCTGTGTGGGGGTCTACACTCCAGAGTTCCTGCTTCCCTGAGCGGTGTGGGGGTCTACACTCCAGAGTTCCTGCTTCCCTGAGCGGTGTGGGGGTCTACACTCCAGAGTTCCTGCTTCCCTGAGCGGTGTGGGGGTCTACACTCCAGAGTTCCTGCTTCCCTGAGCGGTGTGGGGGTCTACACTCCAGAGTTCCTGCTTCCCTGAGCGGTGTGGGGGTCTACACTCCAGAGTTCCTGCTTCCCTGAGCGGTGTGGGGGTCTACACTCCAGAGTTCCTGCTTCCCTGAGCGGTGTGGCACTCCCTGCACCATTATGAAACGGCACAACTGGAGCGCCACAACGTCTAGGCGCTTCGCTCAGCGAATGAGCACCGGGTCCTGAGGAGACATGAAGCTTCACCTGTGGCGCCGGCACGGCGGCGTAGAGGGTAAAGTCGCTGCCTGCAGTGCTGCCCTCTCATGTGAGCGCTGGTTCTGGTCCCGGCTGCTCCATTTCTGATCCAGCTCTCTGCCATGGCCTGGGAAAGCAGAAGATGGCCCGAGACCTTGGGCCCCTGCACCCACGTGGGAGAGCCAGAGGAAGCGCCTGGCTCCTGGCTCCGGAATGGCGCAGCTGTGGCCATTGCAGCCATTTGGGGAGTGAACCAGTGGATGGAAAATCTCGCCATCCCCCTCCTCCTCCCCCTCTCATTCTCCCTCTCCCTCTCGCTCTGCTTCTGCCTCTCTGTAACTGTGCCTTTCAAATAAATAAATAAATAAATCTTAAACAAAAAAGCTCTACCTGTACATGCCTGGGGAACGCTACACCTGAAAGGACTTCTCAGTTCTAAGGGCAAATGTCTGCGGCTTCGATGCATCTGCAAAGCACAGTCCACAGAAGTAAAGCTGGCGTGCAGCAGTGCCAGGCCGGCACATGGCACAGCAGGTCGGTCCTCCACCTGCAGCGCCAGCATCCCCTGTGGGCACTGGTTCTAGTGCCGGCTGCTCCTCTCCCAATCCAGCTCTCTGCTGTGGCCTGGGAAAGCAGTGGAAGATGGCCCAGGTCCTTGGGCCCCTGCACCCACGTGGGAGACCCGGAAGAAGCACCTGGCTTCTGGCTTCGAATCAGCACAGCTCCGGCTGTTGTGGCCATGTGGGGAGTGAACAAGTGGAAGGAAGACCTTTCTCTCTGCCTCTCCCTCTCATTGTCTGTAGCTCTACCTCTCAAATCAATACATAAAACCTAAAATAACTAACAAACAAGCAAACAGCAGTGGCTACGGAGAGCAATGCAGACAGGGCAGAGGATGTGGGAAGTCCTAAGAACAGACCTGGGATGGAAGCTGCAGACGGCAGGCTCTGCGAAGATGCCCGCGAGAACCTGTGCCGTCAGGCAAATCCTGCTCCATTCTCTTCGCCAACACTGAGTTTTCTTTCTTCGTTCTTTTTTTTTCTACAATATATATGAATAAAAACAACAACAACAAAAATAAAATTACCATGATTTTGGTAAAAGCAGTAAAAAAATCAAAGGAAATATTAGATTCAAAATCTTCAGATACTGAAAAAGACTTCTAATTTAGGAATCCAAAAGAAAAGATTCTAATATTAGGAAACAAATGCATGAAATGAGTGAAAAATTCCGTAATAAAAGAGCTGGTGAAAAACAGCAAGACATGGAGAAGGAAGCATGCCACTCCCAAAGAACAGGTGGTTCCCATGACCAGATCTTGGTCTGCAGGAGATCCATGATACGTTTGAAAAAGAATTCAAAATAATCATCCTAGGGAAACTCAGTGATATCAAGAAAATTAAGCATATAATGTATGACACGAATGAGAAATTCATCAAAGAGAGCAACCATTAAAAAGAACTCATCGGAAATTTTGGTGCGGAAAATGTCAATCAATGAAATAAAAAAATACAATTCAGAGCTTCAACAACAGACCAAGCACAAGAAAGAACTTCTGAGGTTGAGGACAAGACTTTTTAAATAACTCTATCAGACAAAAATAAGGAAAAAGTAATTAAGGAGAATGAGAAAGTCTATGAGAGACATGGGATACAAATATTACAAATATTCGTGCACTAGGGATACCAGAGTAGAAGAGAAGAAAAATGCATTCAGAATGTATTCAGCTGAAATAATGTTTGAAAATCCCCCACGTCTGACCTAGATATGAGCATCCAGAAACAGAAGCTCAATGACCCAGCTAGACTCACCCATGAAAGAGCTTGTGAGAGGCCCAACACAGTCAACTGTCCAGAGGTAAGGAAAAGAGGGAAACCTAAATCCTTCAAAATGCCGTGTCACGTGTGAACCGCAATCCACTCGACAAGCAGCAGACTCCTCAGCAGAAACCTACAGGCCAGGAGAGAATGCGATGACATATCAACGTCCTGAAAGAAGAAAACTTCCAACTAAGGCGCTCATCACCACCAGACCAGCCCTGCAAGAAACACTGAAAGGAGTCCAACGTGACACTCAAATAACCACGAAAGCACCTGCCAGTACAGGACGCATCAGAGCAGCAGATACAGAGAGAAGCCAAGAGCCCAAACACAACAGAAAGCCACCCGAGGAGAACAGAAACAGGGCCAAACAGGCCGTGCGCCAAGCGAGTGCCGACAGAACGCGACACCAAGGAAATCCCCAAAACCAGTGAGCAGCTGCACGTCTCCGCTTCTGTCCCTCCGAGTCAATGAGAGAGGTGCCGCGGTAAACATGCTGTGATCAGTTTATTTTACACTGCTGAGGGTCTGCTTCAACAGTCCCCAACCCCAGGTCCTCAAAACAAGCTCAGTGCAGCACCCTTGAACTCCGGTGCAAATCTGTTTGGAAACTCTGTCTTTTTCTGAATCTTTCACTATCTTTCCAAAACATCAACTGGCAGCAATTTCTGTATCCGATAACGTGCAACAAACACAAATTTTTTGAGACCCTGATTTGCACTGAGATTCCTCACTACGCATCAAAGAACAGCTGCGCTCCATGACTTCTACTCTCAGTCGTCTGCGTCTTACGCCCTGAGTGTGGAGAGGCTGGGCCTCCCGACTCATCTGTGTAGCAGGCTCTCACTACAAAGCCCAGAATGCTCTACAGGAGTTTCTGTTCATATAAGTGCTCAAACGGTGTCGCCCCAGGCTGTCTCACGTGGACTCCCTGACGTCGCGCGTCCACCGTGCACGGGACGGAGGAAGGAGGAAGCAGAGCAGTGAGTGCATTGAGCTCCGCCCTGGGCCCTCCATGCACGGCCCCACCCAGCTGCCCAGGCCGCATCACTTTAGCAGCTGAGCACAGCGTCGCTTAAACCTCCTGTAGTTTTAGTAGAGTGGAAAAGCAGAGAACTTACCACCAACGGAGAGAACCATGAAAATGTGTTTCAAAGAAGGGATATCACGAAAGAAACGTGCACCGTAAGCTTACCATTCAACACTCTTCCCTGATGCCGAAACCCCCAAGATGAATCCCATACCACAAAAAAAGTAAAAAACTAAAATTCTCCAGCACACGGACTTGTTAGTATTCTCTGGTATAAATGGCTATGCTAATCTTCATTAAAGATGTTTAACTTTAAAACAGTGGAAGAGCACATCTGTCCCATGGAATAATCATGTTTGAAATGCTGGACAGCTGAAGTCATTGGGAATAAAATTGATGGGCTTGATTTCCCTTGTCTCTGGGACCAGCGAGGAGAAGTGCTAGCTAAATGATCTCTCTCAAAATTCAGCGCATGGAAATCAGATACATTCAGCGGTCGGTAATGTAAAAATGGAAATTCTGAGTATCTGACGGCCTCAGGAATTTTGATGCTATCAAGTTTTGTTGAATAAACACAGAAATTTATTCCAAGTATTTAAATATATTCATTAAAGTGCTCAGTAGGATAAAAAGAATACTGAGACTCTCCTGTGGTTTCTGTTTTCTTTAAATGTTAATAGTTATCACAGTTTATATCCTGCCTACCGCCAGTATGAAGCTTTCCAATCACTCCCTGGAATACCACAAACCAGTGGATCTAAGCACTCTGCGAGTTTTATGTGGACTGCAGTGCACTTCCTAACTTTGACTGGCTCTATCACTAAATTAAAATAATACAGCACCACTAACTATAAGAATAATTATATGAACAGCAGCTACAATTACTGATTGTGCCCTAAGACTCCGGATGAAGCCCTCCACGTGCACTGCCAAGAGACTTTGAACATCACAGACAGGCTGTTATCCTGTGGCTGCCATGGCAAGTGACCATGACATCAGTGGCACAAAATAGCACAAACCTGCTATCTCACCAGTCTGCACTCAGATGCCTGAAACCGACCTCACGGGGCTACAGTCAAGGTGTTGGCCCGGGCCCACCGCTCCCCGGCAGCTCTACCAGGAGGCCGTGGGCCGTGTTCCCCCCGGGCAGGGGTGGGGGGTGCCCGACACCTTTGTGCACCATCTGAGCTGTCGGGCTCAGTGCTGCCCAAGCTGCTCCCCCCGTCTCTGGTTCTCCATGGGCTCATCTGCCTCCAAGACGCTGTCAGACCCTGTGGTCCCAGGGTGCCGCAGCTCAGCCAGGTGGGCTGATTAGCATCCTCCCTGTCCCCTGCCAGGGATGTCCATCTCTTCTCTAGCGACACAAACAAGTACCACGGACGGGATAATCTTGATAGAATGTAGGTTTATTCAGTGGACACTCTGGCGGCTTGGAGGCCCAGAGTCAAGGGGCCGTACCTGAGGCCTACGTGCTGATGGAGGCTCCCTGCAGTTTCAGAGGGAGGCGGGACACGCCATGGCAAGAGGGGTGCAACCCAGAGGCAGGGTCAGTGCACACTCCCTTTCTCAGTAACTCACTGACCCAATAATCAACAAATCCACTCATGAGGAGAGGCCCCATGAACTAGTAACATCTTAAGGGTCTTAACGCTTCACAGTGGGGATTAAATGTTAACTTCAGCCTGGGTGGGTACACTCACACCTCTACACCATGTCACCTAACACGCTCACACCACAGACTCACAAACCCTAAAACACTCAAACCTCCGCAACACGTAACCTAACATGCTCACATATAACCTAACACATTCACACCACAGAATCACACATGCTAACAGACTCGGACCTCAGCAACACGCATCCTAACACGCTCACACCACAGAATCACGTACCCTAACAGACTCGGACCTCAGCAACACGTAACCTAACATACTCACATATAACCTAACACGCTCACACCACAGAATCACAAACCCTAAAACACTCAAACCTCAGCAACACGTAACCTAACATACTCACATATAACCTAACACGCTCACACCACAGAATCACACATGCTAACAGACTCGTACCTCATCACCACGCATCCTAACACGCTCACACCACAGACTCACGTACCCTAACGCGCTCCCCATATAACCCATAATACCTAACACATTCACACCAGATTCATGTACCCTAACAGACTTAGAACACAGCACCACATAACCTAACGCGCTCCCCATATAACCCATAATACCTAACACATTCACACCAGATTCATGTACCCTAACATACTTAGAACACAGCACCACATAACCTAACGCGCTCCCCATATAACCCATAATACCTAACCATTCACACCAGATTCATGTACCCTAACATACTTATAACACAGCACCACATAACCTAACGCGCTCCCCATATAACCCATAATACCTAACACATTCACACCACAGATTCACGTACCCTAACAGACTTATAACACAGCACCACATAACCTAACGTGCTCCCCATATAACCCATAATACCTAACCATTCACACCAGATTCATGTACCCTAACAGACATATAACACAGCACCACATAACCTAACGTGCTCCCCATATAACCCATAATACCTAACACATTCACACCAGATTCATGTACCCTAACATACTTATAACACAGCACCACATAACCTAACGCGCTCCCCATATAACCCATAATACCTAACCATTCACACCAGATTCACGTACCCTAACAGACTTATAACACAGCACCACATAACCTAACATGCTCCCCATATAACCCATAATACCTAACACATTCACACCAGATTCATGTACCCTAACAGACTTATAACACAGCACCACATAACCTAACATGCTCCCCATATAACCCATAATACCTAACACATTCACACCAGATTCATGTACCCTAACAGACTTATAACACAGCACCACATAACCTAACGCGCTCCCCATATAACCCATAATACCTAACACATTCACACCAGATTCACGTACCCTAACATACTTATAACACAGCACCACATAACCTAACGCGCTCCCCATATAACCCATAATACCTAACCATTCACACCAGATTCACGTACCCTAACAGACTTATAACACAGCACCACATAACCTAACGTGCTCCCCATATAACCCATAATACCTAACACATTCACACCAGATTCATGTACCCTAACATACTTATAACACAGCACCACATAACCTAACGCGCTCCCCATATAACCCATAATACCTAACACATTCACACCAGATTCATGTACCCTAACATACTTATAACACAGCACCACATAACCTAACGCGCTCCCCATATAACCCATAATACCTAACACATTCACACCAGATTCATGTACCCTAACAGACTTATAACACAGCACCACATAACCTAACGCGCTCCCCATATAACCCATAATACCTAACCATTCACACCAGATTCACGTACCCTAACATACTTATAACACAGCACCACATAACCTAACGTGCTCCCCATATAACCCATAATACCTAACCATTCACACCAGATTCATGTACCCTAACAGACTTATAACACAGCACCACATAACCTAACGTGCTCCCCATATAACCCATAATACCTAACACATTCACACCAGATTCACGTACCCTAACATACTTATAACACAGCACCACATAACCTAACGCGCTCCCCATATAACCCATAATACCTAACACGTTCACACCAGATTCATGTACCCTAACATACTTATAACACAGCACCACATAACCTAACGCGCTCCCCATATAACCCATAATACCTAACCATTCACACCAGATTCACGTACCCTAACAGACTTATAACACAGCACCACATAACCTAACGTGCTCCCCATATAACCCATAATACCTAACACATTCACACCAGATTCACGTACCCTAACAGACTTATAACACAGCACCACATAACCTAACACGCTCCCCATATAACCCATAATACCTAACACGTTCACACCAGATTCATGTACCCTAACATACTTATAACACAGCACCACATAACCTAACGCGCTCCCCATATAACCCATAATACCTAACACATTCACACCAGATTCATGTACCCTAACATACTTATAACACAGCACCACATAACCTAACGTGCTCACACCACAGCACCTCACAGCAGAACCTGTTCACAGGCTGTGGGAACTAGGCATGAGGTCAGGTTGGGCGTACTGAGACCACAGCAGCATATAACCTAACACACTCACAGGAATCAGGGACGAGGATGTGGGCAGCTCTGGGAGCCATTATTGTGCACACCACAGCACAAGGGAAGAATAAGCCCTAGCAAAAAGGGATCAGGGAACGTTGTGGCACGGTGGACAGAGCAGCCACTTGGGACGCCTGCCTCTCATACTGCAGTGCCTCAGTCTGAGCTCCCTATCTGCGTCTGAGGCAGCCTACTGCCAAGGCACGCCCTGGAGGCAGACGCTGACGGCTCAAGGAGTCGGGCCCTGCCACCCACACAGGAGCCCTGGATGGAGGTCCTGGCTCGGGCCCCTGCCACCCACACGGGAGCCCTGGATGGAGGTCCTGGCTCCTTATTTCTGCGTGACCTAGCTCTGGCTGCTGGTGACATCTGGGGAGTAAATTAGTGGATTGAAGCATTCTACCTCTGACTCTCTCTCTTGCTCTCACTCTGCCCTTCAGATAAATACAATAAAAGGGGATCATTATGAGTTCTAAGACAAACAGCGAGTGGTCATGGCAGATTTCATAGCCAGCTCTTTCTAACTACCCCTCTACATCAAAAACTAATCTGGCTATATTCACAATATGCACTTTCAAGAACTTTTCTGAGGATATCACACATACATAGACTTCAAAAATTCTGCACCAAAATAAATGTATCTTTGCATTCCATTTGCCATGAGTTTTTCAAGTTCTCTCATACATCACAATATGTAGTTTGTCACATGTCCCCTGACATAATTTAGTACCACACAGACACCACTCGGAATATTTTGCAAATATGTAGCTCCTTTTTAGACACACAATAAACCAAGTGAGTTCAGTCTGCGCCGGCCAGTAGCAGTGCTGACTCGCTCGACCCAGGAACTCCTCCGTGGCTTCGGTTCCAGCCCAGACTGCAAGGAAAAGGAGATGTGGCTGCGACAGCACACGGAGCAGCTGCACGGCGCAGCACTGCTATCTCTACACAGCCACTAGGGGGCACCCGTCCCGGCTCACTGCCCCAGGGGCTGTCTTCCGGCGATGGCTTTGGGCTTCACCTTTCCCAGGCAAACCCTCAGAGCCCATGAGAATTACCATGGGGACAACCCGGTGCATTTGCTCCCGCAATGAGGAAACACCAGGTGCTGAGCAGTCGACTGTTCTCCGCTCGTGTCTGCCGGCATGGGGGCCTCCTGGAGCCTTTACCAATGTGAATAAACCCTGCTGACTGTGAGGTGACAGGTGGCCCACAGTTCAATATTCTGTGATCCAAACCTCTGTCTTTCACACAGGAAAAGCCCTTTCCTAACAATGTTTTGGAAGCCAGCTTCCATTTCCATGTGCTCACGACCAGGAAGGATGTTGGCAGGAGCAATGGCCTGGGGATGCCACTCACCCCCTTTATCCACGACTTCCGTCCACGCAAAGGCAGGACTCACAGCAGGGTGGGGCAGGAGAACAGTGGTGCACGCCTGGCTCTGCTGCTCCTCGTGCCTTCCTCACGGTCTGAGCACTGGGAGCACTCCGGCCCCTCCTTAGCTGCGTGGTCAGCTCGCTAGGTAAGCGCCACTCGTAAGGGGGAAGCGCCAGTCCTCCAGGACCTCTGTATCTGAACAGACTGCCCCACATGAGGCAGAAGCAACCTGACAGAGGGGCATCTGCTGCGCCCTCCATCACCCAGCAGAGCTGATGGTGGCCTCCGTTACTCTGCCCCTGTGTCCTCTCTCCCAGCTGGCCCCAGACCTGGGCAGCAGAGGGATCACACTGAATGCATCTCTCCACACACTCCTCAAGATAATTATTAAAACTGTCTTGTTGTATACTCTAAACTACATGTAAAATTTAGCTGTACTTCAACACTCTAGCTTGTTTTTTATTCTTAAAGCAAAAAATACCTCGTCACTATTGCTTACTACCATTTTAACAGTTTTCTCTCCTGCAGGAACGTGTTACACATCTTAGAGAAGAGTAAGCTATGTACACAAATCATAATTGGCCACAAGCTGTGTGTGCATATAGCGTGTGCATCCATGTATCACGCGTATCCTATGTGTGTATGTGTATATAAGGGCACTTCCACAACTTAACGGAAATGTGCAAGTGTAGGGGTGGGTTTGAGACACAGCGGTTAAGCTGCCATTTGGGATACGCACAGCCCATACTGGAGCGCCTGGGACGGCATCACACCTCTGCTTCCCATTCAGCTTCCTGTCGATGCCCACGCTAGGAGGCAGCGGACCACAACTCAAGTGTTTGGGTCCAAGCAACCCATGTGCGAGCCCCGGGTGGGGTTCCTGTCTCCTGGCCTCAGTCTGGCCAGCGCTGGTTGTTACGGGCATCTGGAAAGTGAACCAGCAGGAAGGTCTTGCTTTCTCTTTATCTCTCCAGCTCTGTCTTTAACACAAATAAAAACATATAAATAAAATCAGAGGAGATGGCTAATTTTGGCACAAAAACAACTTTTCAATACCACATTATTTCTGTAGCAAAGTCAAGTCATCTTTTCATAGATTTTCCCACAACCTTTTTGAGATATCCTCATTTCATGTTCTGCTGTAACATAATATGATGCTATATGGTAATTTAATTCTAAGCATCGAGAGAAGGGAGGCAATGTTCCTTGATTCAAATACTTTATATCTTTCCTGTTTTTCCACTATTTTCTTGTTTTATCCTAAAGGAATTTTCCCAAAGTTCTCTGAACTGAAATATTGTCTCATCCATAATTTTTCACACAGTGCTGCAAGCATGGCCACATTCCATATAAAAATGAAATGTGCTTATTAGTACAAACCCCTCTGAAATGGCCACAGTACAAGGAAAGCAATTAGTCACTGCCACCACTTGCTACCTGCAATTATACTCCCGAGAACGCAAGCCCCTTGTGCTGGGACACCGCGCTGTGCTCCCCACAGCCTGCCGTACGCAAGGCCAGTCTGCGAACCGCGAGGACTCAGCCGCGAGAGGCAGGAAGCCCGCAGGTGGAGGGCAGTGAGGAACCAGACTTCTGGAGCTCGCTGCTCTCTGCCACACGAGCTGCGGTTTAGCTTCCTCTCCCCAGACCATGCGTCTTGTCCACCAGCAGCACGGAAGGAAGGGCTGGCACTTCACAACCCTCTGGGGCCTCTCCGTGCCTCCCCCTCCACTCTGTCTTTGGAGACAGGGTACCAGGTCGCCCCAACCTAGGTTCGACTTATAGTTGTTGAGGAACTTGGCACGGTTTCCCATCCTCTGCCTTCATTTTAGCCCTGGAGGAAGCTGACTGAGCACGCAGCCCCTGACAAGTGAGGCTCACGAGCTGTGGGCTGAGGTCTCCAGCGCAGAGCCAACAGCACAGCCAGGGGCTCTGGGCATCGAGCACCTTCACAAGGAGCCCCGGAGGCCCTGGCGCAGACGGTGTGGACTCACAGAGGCCTGTCCCTTACCAAGCCCCCGCTGTGTCAGACATAACCGGGGTTGTTACACGGGATAGCGTCTTCCCAGGGCCCTTCCGTGGCTGCACTGATTCCTTTTCCATGTCCTTTTTAGTTTTGTTTATTCAGGTTTCTCATATCCCCACAACCTACTATAAGTTATAGTACATTTTCAAAATGAAAAGATTAAGGAATGCATATTTGTGTTTATCTACAGATATAATTGCAAAGTCTGCAAAGGGCTACGCTGGCCTTAACAGAGAGAAAGAAACTGAACCTAAGGCTTGAACTGAGATGATCCCCGGACAGCTGGAGAAGCTGAGGCTACCCCCAACACAGCAGAGACAAAATGTGCATGGGTCACCAGAGTCCAGCTTCTGTGGGCCGAGGTATGTGCAGGACCTAGAACCCCGAGCACGGCTCCTGTTCTGCAGCCAGCAATAACCCACAGAACAGAGGGAAATCCTCGGTACAAACGGAGCCAGGAGAAAGGCTGGGCTGGGGCTCAGAAGCGGTGTTGCACGTGCCCGTCAATGGTAAAGACGGGCAGGGAAACTGAGATACACGCTGGAAGGTGGGGAGGGGAAGAACAGACGGCTCCAAGTGTGATGTGTGTGGTGATAAACGGTTCAACCTGATGAGCTAAGACTTTATTTTGCTAACCCTGCAGAAAACACCAAAAATAAAAGTATCTAAAACTATACATTTTTCACACCTTCCTCAGAGGACAGCCACTCCTGCACTCCGTAAGCTATGCTACAGCACTCTGTTTCTATGTCTGGATACAATACCGCATATTTATCCATGGATCTGGGGGCACAGAACTCCCTTCTACACTGTTAACTTTGTACACAGTTTAAACACAATAACATTTCATATTAAATTTAATTTCGATGGTTTCTTTGTGCCCAATTATGTGATCTTTCATTATTTATGAGTTCACAGGAAATGCATAATATGAAAAACTATTCATAAATTTCACTTTTTAACAAAATAATTTTCTTTTAATTCTATTTTATAAGCTTTTTGAAGTACCCTAATACTTCTTTCCTAATTGTTTGATGAGTTTAAATGAGGAGTGTACATACTACATGTAATAACACAAAGACACATTTCATACATGATCATGTATATAACACATTGATTATCAACATTTTATCCAAATCATTGTGGGTATATATTCTTGCTTTCATAAGTGCTTGATCTTCCAATTTCTGAAAGGTATGGGTTACAAAATTCCTCTCTAACTGCACTTCATCAAGTAAAAAATAAGTAAACTTTGAACACTGGGTTATTTATCAAAATAATCATGAATACATAATTATATACCATCACCATATATTATACAATGTATGATATATGGTTGCATAATAACTGAGTATATTATATGTAAATAGCCACACCCTAATATAATGTAATAATGAGTAGCCAGTAGCAAAGTTAACAGGGATGGTTTATGGACAGATAATGTGAGAAGTGTAACGGCACACCTCCGTGCCTTTTGTTTCGGGAAATGCAGGACAGGCGCACGCATGGTTGCCGTTACACAGATAAACTCGGAAGGACATGCCCTAGTATGCTAACCGTGGTGACCTCGGATCCGGAACCATAAACCTTCATCAGTTTTTCTTGATACTCCTCGTAGTTTGACATTGATAAACATATTATACTGTATCATCAAACAAAAATCAATGTAACTACTTTCATTCTGAAATCACTAGAAAAAGTGGTAATCAAAATCATCTTTCAGAAAAGATAATTACTTATGATTGCTCTTGTGTGTCCCAAGTTCCAAACACACAGCACAGAATAAAATATGAAAGAGAAAAAAACAATCACAGCACGTACCCTGCAGGTGGCCGACCACCCAGCACACAGTCAGCCGGTTGGTAACCAAGGTGTTCCTCCACTCTCACTCCACACCCCGGCAGGCACGCAGGTGCCATCTCCCACCAGGTCTGCAGTGGACACCACCTGGCTGTCCTCTCATTCAACTCAATTCCACGGTGTCCACCTGGGCAGGGCAGCAGGTGCCCCCAGACAGAGCTGGGACCTACGAGAACACCCACTCCTGATGGCCGCTGCCAGGCCCCAGGGAGTTACCTGGCACCTACAAATGTCTGCTGAGAGGTTTTCCAGGAAAGCTCATGGAACTCAGGGAAGCACGATAACTAATTTGTTGTGAAGGGCACGACAAAGGGTGCAGACACACAGCGCACGGAAGAAGGACATCAGGCAGGACGCGGGGCAGGCATATGGAGCTGCCACCCTCTCTGGGTGGACACCCCCAGGTGCCTGCTGTGTCCGCTACCTTGGGGCTGGAGGTTTCGTCACACACGCACAGCTGCTTATGCCGCTGTCCGATGGTGATCAGCCCAACCTTCAGCTGCTCTCCTCTCCTCAAGCACACGGTCCTGACCAACTCTGCCCTGACTCGGGGTGAGCAGACCCATCCTGAAACCCTGCGGGCCCTAACCACCAGCCATGCCGCTACCAAACAAGACGTTCTTACCCGCCAAAAGAACCCGAGGGCCGGGAACCAGGGGCAAAGGCCAAGTGCAAACCTCACATTGTATCATAAACAACGACCAATACACAAGACCTCTGTGAAGGCCTGCTGCAACCCACTGCTTCTTGCAAAGTACTCGTGTTTTTCAATAATCCAATGTACACATTCTCAAACCGTAGCTTTGCTTATGTTTCCTCTAAACACAGGCTCCCAAGCGCTCAAATATCTTTACAGTTCTATCTGCCAGGCTGACCCTTGGAAATTCGTTTTTCTTTTTCACCACCTAAAAGGCATTAGAGACTGTAGGTATTTTGAGATAACTTTTGCCTTGCTTATGCGGGTATTACTTGATGCAATACATTACTGCACTCTTTTCACAGAGGGATTTTAATTCTATAAAGTTCTTTACTTTGGGATAAAGATTTATTGTGCCATGCAAGTGTATACAAGCTTTGCTATAGCATTTTTGATGACAAATCATGTAACAAATTATATTATTCATGTGATTTTTATTTTCATACAATGAGAAATTTAATACAAAATCTGGTCATGGACTTTATTTCACAACTGAGGCTCCATTACCTACTGGAATGGAGTTAAGATATATGTTCTTAATTTAGTTTTCTGAGCTGCTGATGGTGAATGTTTTCTAACTTTTCCCCGACATATATCAGATCAAAACTTACTATTCCCATTCCATCTACTAAATGAGCCCAAGCCACATGGTCTCTATGCCTGGTCTGACTGCCACATAACATGCCATTTTCATCTATTTTTTTTTTCTTTCAGCTTTCAATTACTTACTTGAGAGAGTGAAGGAGAGCGAGAAAGTGAGAGAGAGGAATGTCTGGGTATCTTCCATCACTACTTTATTCCCAAATGCCCACAATAGATGGTGGTGGGCCACGATAAAGCAGGAACTGAGATCTCAATCCAGCCAATACAGGTTTCCAAGTGGGTGGCAGGGACCTGCCCACATGAGCCGTCGCCCCTGCCTAACAAGGTCTGCACTGGCAGGAAGCTGGAGTCAGGAGCTGCAGCGGAAACACTGAACACCAGGCCAACGACTGCCCCTTCTCATTTCTTCTTTAGCTCTCACACCAAACCCCAAGAAACTCCGGACCCCGGGCATGTACGGTCTTGTAGCATGAAGTGGCCAATCCTATTCTGTAAAGTTTTATTCAGTCTAAGAATATAGGTTTCGAAATAGTAAATCAAAAAGAATTGTGACTGATTTTGAAACGTCAATAAGCATATGTCCTCAAGTAGAGAGCACTATTTTAGTGCACTTAGTAAGTTGTTTCATACATTAGTATAAGTTAACTAAGAGTGAGGGTTTCATCATGAGACTGTGCCAAAGCCCTAAGTCCATAACCACCCTACGGGCAGCACAATCTGAAGGAGTACACAGAGCTCCAAACTCAGGCAGTCGCCCAGTCTCTGTTCCCAACTGCCTCTGCAAGGGATTCACTAGGATGTGTAGTGACCAAGTATCTTCTGGCTATCCATTTCTGCGAAGATTAACTTCATATAAATGAATCCTCTTTTTCAATTATTTCAAATAATTCACTGCACTGTCTTGGTTCATGTTTAAGTAGCCCAAGAAATTATTTCATGTGGAAAATAAAGAAACCTAACCTTGAAGGTTCACTGTCATGAAGCTTCCTTCTGGAGCAGCTGAGTGACAGGGCGTGCCTGCAACCGTCCGCAGCAGTGGGCGGGATCAGATGCATGCGTGAGTGCGCAAGCTGCTGCGGGGAGAGCTGAGGCCGAACCCTCGACTCGCGCCTCTTCCACGCACTGATCTGATTCCAGCAATGATTTCCGCAGGGCCTATTCCAGATCACCTCATCAAAGACGAGTCCAAAGCCGCTACATAAACGGATACATCTGATAAAGAATCTGATTACGTTATCCTCATCCATCAAGTATGAACACACAGAGAATCCAGCCAAGGCAGGTCCCAGGATGGACACATGCTGGGGCTTCTTGAACCATCTGGGTCAGCTGAGAGGTCTGAAATGCTGGTGACTGAGTTACTGTCACTGACCACATTCAGTGATGTTTATGACTTTGTACGTTATAGTTAAACACACATGACATAAACTCACATTGTAGCCATCACGTGTATGTGCAGTGGCAGTAAGTATGCTTGGAGACACTGCCACCACCCAGCCCCACAACTCTTTCCATCTCGGGCTGCAATGCCGCAGCCACTACCCCTCCCTCCACACCCTCTCCTCACCCAGCCTTTGGTGGCCACTGATCGACTCTTCGTCTTCTTGAACTGGATGACTCTAAACCCTCATTCAAGAGGACTCCCACAAAGTTCAACTTCTGTGACGGGCTTATTTCACGAGCCCCGTCCATCTGTGCTGTGCAGTATGCTGGAATATCCTTCCTCTCTAAGGCTGACTCGCACTCCACGCACACATCAACAGGCAACAGGACACTCCTGAATCCTCTCTACAATGCTACCAGCATGGTACACAGGTGATCTCCTGTCTGCACTTTCAGTTCTCTGGCTATACACTTCTGGGCCACTGGACGATCTAGATTTAATATTCTCAGGAAATGCTCAACGGTGCGACCCAGCTGTGCTGTTTGACATTTCACCAATAATGCACAAGGCATCCAACCCCTCGCCGACACTTGCTGTCTTCTGCCTTTGGTTTGCTGGTTTAGTAGCAGACCTCTGAAAGGGGTGGAGTGGTGCCGCAGTCCTTTATGGAAGCAGAGCCTGCAGAAGGGCCTGCCGGAAGCACACCGGGGGCCTTGGCACCACGCCCAAGAACGGCACCTGCAGTCTCCATTACACGGAGCGGGTGAGGCAGCCCCCAGACTCGTGTGACGGATGCTGGGGTCTTCCCAACAGGGTGGTAGGGGCGTTCCCATTTCTCAGCCCGATGCCAGACTGTAGGGAGGGCCTTAGAGTCCGGCAGAGGACACGGACAAGAAAGCAGTCAGAGCTGTCATGGTAGACGGGGAACACGGGGCCAGCAGGTGGTAACCGCAGGCCTGAGGGAAGTCACCAAGAAGGGAGGGGGTCCCAGACACAGTCCAGGTGTGGGATGCCAAGTCTGAAACTGCCTTTGACCTTTCCTGGTAGATTCCAGCAGCTCAGGGTTTAATGCGGCTCAGGAAAGAACCCAGCGGCACACCCGAATAAAGGAGATTCACAGCAACGTGCGTGGCCCGCTGAAATCCACCTGCTACCTGTGAACCTCGAACTCTGTGGCCCAGGAGGGACACGCCCACATTTGACTTCCTGCTCCCTCTGCAGCACACAACAGGGTGGCCCTCACTAAAACGTTTCCCCAAGCACAGATGGCGCCAGAAACACGGCCCTGTGTCCACCGTCTGCCTTCAACTTGGATTTCCAGTACAAAGATCGCAGGTCCTAGGGCAGAGACGTGGCGGGTGCAGAGTAGAGACAGGTGTGCTTTCAAGTGCCTCTGAAGGATGTGTGCTGGCTGTCACACACAGCGCCCCGCACAGGGACCAGGCACTGTGAACACAGCCTGGAAAGTCCTGGAAGTAAGACCCAGCCTGACTCCTCGGGGGACACAGATGGTTGTGTTCCGGCCCCCCGGGCTCTGTCGGCGGCTTTGGCTAACACACACGCACAGTCCCGAGGCTGCGGGCCCAACACGAAGGCATCTGTACAGCAAACACAGGCCCTAAGGAGAGGCCACGCTGCCTCTTCCTGGTCTGACACACTTGTGACAGGCTGCCAGGTCTCTGCCTCCTTCTCCCTGCCTGTCTCCAAACACTCAGATGAGGAAACCAGTTCCCTGCCCCCGACAGAGCACGACCCCAACCCCTAATATCACTGGCAGCAATCCTATTCCCAAACACACTCAGGTTCTGAGGATCCACGTGGGAATTCAAACTGGAGGACAAACAGGATGGACTGTGCTGAAAACCCAAAGAACAGAAACGAGACTGGGAACTTCACTGAGGGTAAACGCGGGACGCTGTCTACGGTCTGATGTCAAATGATGTGACGTGTGAACATCTTTAGAGGCTATCCCAGCTCTCCAGGAATAAGATTTAAATTCAGGCATCTGGTGCAAATGAGTCTTGGGTCAGATGCTGTGTGAAAAGTTAACAGAAAATCTGTGCCCTCCCTGCTTTAGGCATGTCTACCAAGATGCAAACAGATTTCATCTGCACTAACTCTGAATTCACTAAAAATTCTACTGCCAAGCTGTGGAATTTTCCATCCAGAGAAATAGCAGAAATATCATCGTTATTCACTTGTTTAGCTTCTCCTTTAATAAACATGTCCCAAGTGCCTGTAACTTGTTGATCAGTGTACTGTGCATTGCGGGTACAGCAATGAGAACAACACAGACCAATGTACCTTCAGTAACTATTACCAAACAGTCACAAAAACCGGGTACGTGACTCCAATCAGGGACGGGCGCTGTGAAGACCGAGGTGTCTGCCGTTGCAAGCACATGCACTCTGTGTGACCCGTGGCGCTGTCTCACCGTGGGCATCAGACAAGAAGGCTTGCTGCAGGTTAGCGTGACTGCAGTAGGCAGGCTTATTCTGAGTGCCCACGACTCCTCTCCACAGTCCTTCAGACAAACGCAAATCTAGCGCTGCTAGGCAAGATGCTGAAGACGTCACCACTATCTCAAGTTGGCTGACCGGAAACTGCAGACTTTCTGGAGAGTCTGATGCAGGCAGTCAGCCCTGTACAAGCGCGGAGTGTTCTCTGTTTAGCACAAAAGGCAGAAGTCAAAGCGATCGCAAGTGTGTCCGACTGGAAGGCTCTGACCCACGGCCACTGCTCTGGAGAGGAGATGTGCAGGCGATTTCTAGATAAAAACAGTCCCAGGTCACCAAATTCTGAATTCTAAGGACAACCTGAACGCACTTCCCCAAAGCCTCCAGGTAGGAGTCCCTCCGATCTACCTTGATTTCAGCCTTGCTGGACCCTCAGCACAGAACCCAGCTGGGACCAAGCTGCACTTCTGACTTGCGGGCACTGAGATAAGCAATGCACTGTGTTTTACAGCTCCAGTGTGCAATCCTTCGCTGTTCAACTCAAAAAGATCATTCAGCAGGTGTGGCAAAGGACGCGGACACAGGATAATCACTCCAAAGCTTCGGTGTGCTGACTCATCTCAGGAGCTGCCCGAGAGCAGCAGTGCTGCACAGCCCCAGCAGACCTTGAAGAATCTGTGTCATAAATGGGAACTCACGAAAAGCAAATTTTACCCATTTCAAGATGTCACAACCATCAATCTTTTCCTTATGACGAGCTGACACCTGCTTCCTTGTACTTTCCATCTTCTAAGCTGGAACAGAGCTGAGATGTAGACTCAGAGAGGCTGTGGACCAAACAGACCACTGCTTGCAGGAAATGGGATTCATACCATCCGCAGACCACCACAGGGCCAGGATGGCACCTGCATCTGGAAGCTAACTCACGCGGGCACCTTCCCATGAACCGAGCCATCTGGTCCTTGTGAGACACAAGCGTCCACCTTAGACATGAGACGCACCCAAGTGGGAAGGGCTACTAAGTGGTGAGGACACAACGCAAGGCGCACTTGAATTGCCAGTTCCTGTACGTGCCCTTCCAGACAAGGTCAGAGTTCCCTGGTTGCGCAGTCTGGAGGGAACCAGATAAAGTGGTCCAGTTAGTCACTGACTGCAATTCCTGGAGAGAGGGATCAGTGTAGAGGGTGTTGTTATTTCTGCATTAGCATTTTCACCCAGTGAGAACTTGTGCTCTGATCTCAGGAGGGTGCGCACATTTCCACAGGGGTTAGGTCACTCTCTAGAGGTTCACTGGACACAGCATTTCCAAGTCAGCAATTCCCAGGCAGAGGCAGCTGGGAGCCATTTAATGTACTCATTCTCTCCAGTGAAGAGCCAGGAATGCGTTTGGTTGCATACACAGTGCTAATCCCCTAACAGCTCGCTAAACTGCCCAGCAGCAGGAGTGCACAGGGGACGTGCTGTGTACAGGGTCCGAATCTCCTCCTTGTCATTATTTGCTCTCTCAACAGTTTTACTAGGCCTACCAGGAAGCATGCAGCCTGCTGTTTGGTCGGGTCCATCTACCGCAGACACCGTGCACATTCATCTGTGTTTTCTTTCTTTCAGATGCACAGCAACCATGTTTAAGAATCATTATTTACCTGGGGATTTTGAAAAATGAAAATTCACTTATCAAACACAGTGATTTCAGCTTCTGGTTAAGAAGACATAAAACGTCCCATAATTAGCTTTCAAATTTACATATGTGGGGTGCTTGTTTGGATCCCACAGAACAGAAACGGAAGGAAGCATAATCAGATTTGCTGGACTTGCCAGACCGCGTCCCCTCTAGACACAAAGCGTGCGGTAGTGAGGCTCCCGGGACAATGACGTCTACAGCAAAGAGGACACTCACGCTCCTTTGTGAAGAAGGCTCTGTGTCCCTCCCTTTGACCAGTGCTGGGAGGACACGGGACTTCTCCTGAAGCTGGCTCCTACCAGGGGACTACATGCAGCTCCCTGATTGCAAATCCCAGGGTCATCCAAAGAGAAGAGGGCAATGGTCGGATGCCACGGGCTTGGTGGACGTGGGAGAAGTGCTGGTACACAGACCGTGTGCCCGTGGTCTGACCTTTTCACCTCCCTTCCTGGGAGGAGGAAGTGGGGTGTGGGTGTTGTGAAGACACACTCCAGTTATCTCCCGATTTCTCTTGTTGGGCTGAGACTGGGAGATCACCATGTCTTAACTGTGCGTTTCCATTGTGATAAATGAATACAGAGACTAACTTATAAAGAACAAAGGCTCCCGCTGCTGGAGGCTCAAGTTCCAGACCAGTGAGTGCCCCTGGGGAGGGCTCCCTTGCTGGTGGGGACTCTGTGCACAGCCATGGTAAGACAGAGCTAGCAGTGCCAGTTAATCCACCAAAATCACCCCCTTGTGAGGGCGCAGCCCTCAGGAACCAACGACCTCTGCCCGACTCCACGTGTCCTGCCTCCTAGGACTTCCCACAGGGAATCAGTTCTAGTAGGGATTTCCAAACCACAGCACCTCCCACAGTAAAATCTGCAGACTGCAGACACACTGACCGGCTTTCCTCCTCACGCCCCGAACGTAAGTACTGCTGCTCTCCTACTTCACAAATAGGGAAGCCACGCGCAGAGCTCAGGCAGCCGGCTCGGCTTGACCAGCTGGAATCCAACACAGCGGAGATCAGAGCCTGCACGCACAAGGCTAGCAGCTGCATGACTCCACTAGGGCATTACCAGTTTTCAGCAAAGTGCTCAATTTTCTTGTCAAAAGGCAAAAACAATACAAGGTCAAACTGATTTTAAATTTGATTTTGGTAATAATACCATTTTAAATCTATGCTGTTATTATGTTTAAAAACAATGGCCACCACTTCCTGCAATGTTCTCCCCCGGTACTGCTGTGGAGGCTGGTGCCATAGTCACCCTCTGCCTCCTAAGGCCAGCATCTCACCCTTGGACTGGAAGAGCTGGCTTCTTGATGGGCCACGGCACCGATGCCCCCTCTGCTGACACAGTTCCTTAAGGGCTGCTTGTTCTTGATATTCGATGTCTCTGTGGCCCAGTTTCTAAAATGAGAAGGTAGATGGGCACCATTCTTGTCTTTATGATCCGTGGATGTTCAGGTTTATTTAATCTTTACTTAAGATCCTATAAAGAACCATTTAAGATGCATCAAAATATAATTATATTTTCCTTTAATTTGAGAACTTTTATCAAAACTACTGAAGGCTGTGTGTCCCACTGGGCTATTTGCAACCCCCTATGCCTGCCATTACTTGGCATTTAAACCACTTTCCCCGGTCTCTGCCCCAAAATGCCACTGCAGCTTTATCAGAGTCCAGGTCAAAGTGACAGAGCTAAGTCCCGCAGCCTTCGCATGTCAGCAATCGTGAACTGCACCAGCGGCTGCGCTGCAATTCCCGTTCACTGCAGGAGACAGAAAGCGAGGTCTGCCCCACTGATCTCAGCTGCACCCTGGTTCACAGACTCCAACACCCAGTCACACAATGACACGCCCATGTACACAGCAGAGGGCATCAGAGTGGAACCTTATTTCCGTCTTTGTCTCCCAGCGGCAAAGGAACGTGGAAAAGTTCCAGGCTTTAGGGTATTTGTCAGGTTATGCCTATCAGACTTTTTGGATTGCGGGTTTTATAGAAATATATCTGCTCCTGAAGAGTAAGTATAAGTAGCTACTTCCAAGATAGGAAGCTCACAGAACGCATTATAAATTAGGAGAGATGACAGTCTATTAAACACAGCACAGTAATGCTTACGCCTTGAAAAATAAATAGCATTTCTAAGTTAAAGTTGCTTGAAGTGTCAAGAGTTCACTGTTCTGACACATGTGTTGCTGATCTTTCTGAAAATCCAAGGACAAGCAGGGGGAGGATTCAGGCCCCACTCTCATTCAAGGAGAGCTTTTAGATGTTCTGGCTCCTTCCGGGAAGACACACAGCTCTCCTTGGAGGAACTGGGAGCCTCATCCTACAAAGCAGATCACATAATACTGGGGCTACCTGCACCCCACCCAGCAGCCCCTGCTGACGAGGGCTTTGCAATTACCATACTCATCCACTCATCCCAGTGACCACGAGACAGGTTCTAGGGTTTTCTGTCAACTCAGGTGAACGGGTCGCATCACAGTCAGCAAGTCACTTGCCCATAACTGGGGTCGGAGCCCAGCCCTAGATGCACACAGGGCCCAGCTCCAGTCTCGGCCACGGTGCACTGCTCTCCTTCCCTCCTCATCCTCAGCTCCTCTGCCTCCAGAGGAAGAAATTCTTAAAGGTCTCAGAGCTGGAGAACACGGCCCAGGGGAGGACCAGAAAACCACACAGCAAAGGATGAGCAGAAAGGGCAGGGGGCAGACTGTGGGCAAACACAGGCTGCTGCACGGTGCCTGGGGGGTGCCCGCGGGTTTGTGAAGCGGGGCCGTGTGAAGTACAAAACAGCACGGGCAAAAACCGCCCAAGGAAGGGAGTGAGTCTACGAATGGACGGTGGTCTTGGTCTTGACCACTGGATTTTGGGGGAAGCGATCAGGAAGAAGGCTCAAGCTGGAGGGGACAGTTTGTGTACACAGAAGCCGGCGAGTGGCCCACGGGGAATGACAGGCAGTGAGGGTGAGCTCAGCACTCCTTGGGGGAGCACTGACAAAAGGCAGCAGGAGAGGAGCCAAGTGTGCGGGGGCCAGGGGCTCTCGTGTGCTCCCCCTGATACATCTGTTCATTCACGGAGAAGTAACCAGGAAGCACGGATGAAGGCTGGCCCAGTGATGGCCACAGTGTCAGGACCTTGTTCTGCTCGGGAAACTTTTCACCTAAACCGTCCCCTCCAATCCAGATTCAGCTGTCAAAGAAGCCAGAGTTGAACAGCAATTAAAATAGCAAAAACCAATTTTATATCGACTGAGGGGGCTCGATTTGAAAGTCCACACGGATAAGTGGGGATTTGTGGGTAGGGAACAAGGTGGGGGTCAAGGAATGGGAGAACCACACTAAGAGGCAACGTCAGGGCAGGAGAGGGGAGCAGGGTGATAAGCTGTTCTTTCTACTAGATTCATGGGATACTTTCAACTTCTGAAGCCTCTTGTAGACAGGCAAACAAATTCAGAAAATCACCTACATAGGACAGGCCTGAAAAATGCTTCCCCCAACAGTAAGGCAGCAGGCAAAGGCAGAGAGGGTCCTGTGACCTTGCCCACCCACCAAACAGTCACAGTCTTAGGAAGGTCCCTGCGACTTCCTCCCTCTGCCTCCCCCAAAGACCCTCCTGTGACAGGCATCCTGCCTGTAATCAGAGGGGACAGGCATCCCACGTGTGAGCACACAGGCCTGCCTCCCTCCTCCAGCTCTCCACGCACACTTCTGTCGCAGGGTTCACGGTCACCATCCTGGTGGCACAGCAGCGTCCCCTGGGCCCTCCGTTTCTAAAGGCTCCCTCGTCACGTACAAGCTATAGTAAACAAGCTGCACGTTTTCCCTTGCTAATTTCTCCTTAGCTCTCTAAGACATGAACCTTACAGACAGAGAGGAAAACATCTTAATTTTCCAGGAGCAGTTTCTGGGCCCTGGGATCAACAGCTCCCTGCCTACCACAGAGCCACACGCCAGCAGCTGCCACAAAAACACCCCTGGAATGTTTGCCAGCATGTTCCCTTTTCTTTCTTATTTGGTGAAATCAAAAGTTATGTGGGGTTAATGGCTCGCTGTATAAATGGCACTGTTTTACATACAGCACACATTCCAGCTACACAATCAAACGTCTCAGCATCACACAAACACGTCGCACTCACTGTGTCAGGTATTAGAATCAGTGAGCTCATTTCCAATGTATTTCTTAATATAGATCCAACCGTTTTTACATAAAGTCATTTTAAAAATCTATCCTCTTGGGCCAGCACTGTGGCTTAGCGGGTAAAGCAGCCATCTGCAGTGCCAGCATCTCATATGAGTGCCGGTTTGAGTCCTGGCTGCTCCACTTTTGATCCAGTTCTCTGCTATGGCCTGGGAAAGCAGTAGAGGATGGCTCAAGTCCTTGGGCCCATGCCCCCATATGATAGACCTGGAAGAAGCTCAGCTCTGGCTGTTGTGGTCAACTGGGGAGTGAACCAGCAGATGTAAGATTCTCTCTGACTAACTCTCTTTCTCTCTCTCTTTCTCCTTCTCTCTCCCTCCCTCCCTCCCTCTACCTGTCCTTCTCTAACTCTTTCAAATAGATAAATAAATCATTAAAAAAACCCTATCCTCATAATTCTCTAGCAAATTTATGTAACATTTTAGATAATTGTCTGTTGTTATAAGAAAATCACTATTTGACTAAAGTTTGTGATCCTACATTCTAGATAAATTTTTTTTTTTTTTGACAGGCAGAGTGGACAGTGAGAGAGAGAGAGAGACAGAGAAAAAGGTCTTCCTTTTTGCCGTTGGTTCACCCTCCAATGGCCGCCACGGCCAGCGCACTGCGGCCAGCGCATCACGCTGATCTGAAGGCAGAAGCCAGGTGCTTCTCCTGGTCTCCCATGGGGTGCAGGGCCCAAGGACTTGGGCCATCCTCTACTGCACTCCCGGGCCATAGCAGAGAGCTGGCCTGGAAGAGAGGCAACCAGGACAGAATCCGGCACCCCGACCGGGACTAGAACCCGGTGTGCCGGCGCTGCAAGGCGGAAGATTAGCCTATTGAGCCACGGCGCTGGCTCCCCAAGCTTTTCTAAAGGGAGAAGAAGGTATGCAGGTGACACAGTCACAAAGGCTGTAGCAAGGGGTACTGGAGGGTCACAGGCACAGATGCAAAACAAGGGGTCCTCAGGGGTCAAAGCCACACAGGATACAGCAGGGGTACGGAGAGGACACAGCCACACGGGCTCTAGGTTGGGTACAACCGGGACTGCACACTTCAGAGTCACCTGGAAGAGGTGTTACAAACGTTTCTGCTGGGGTCTACCCCTTCTCAGTTCTATCAGACGAGGAGGCAGGGTCCAGCTCATTAAATTTGAGATGCAGTTCTCCAAAGTCAGATGTGCTGTATCTTAAGCCTGATGTGACCCTGAGTCCTTGGGCCACACACACTAGCGTTTAACCCTAGAACTTGCCCCTCCTCTGAAACTCTGGGTACTCACGATGGGCACCTCACATCCAGTTCAGCCTGGGAAGTGTGGGCTGTTGTGCAGGTCGTAACTGCGTGATGAGTGACAGTCTCACGCTGTCGTCATCTCAATCTTGGCATCATTCTTCACTGTGAGGTGAGAAAGGTCCGTTTTCCTTCCGGGGGAAATTTTCTCACGTAAAACAATAAATGAGTCATCCTTTCATAGGTCCCTGTATGCTAAATTTCATTATTTCCTCATCCTCTTCAAATTATTTTCCTATCACCACAGAAACAGGTTATTTCTTTGCATGGACTATGATAAGGATTATAAATAGCAAAGGAAGTGTATGACATTTCCTTCCCTTGAGGTATCTCTGAAGGTTTTAGTTGTTTGGCTCTGTTTCGAAACACGTGTTTACAGATATGCAATGTCTAAGTGCGACTGGACAGAATGAAAAAGAGGAAGAAGCAGTTTCTATGTGTATTAGTCTGATTCCCCAGAACATAATCTGTATTTCTGTGTACACACATGTACACAATCACACACAATGCCCGCGCATGCACATACATGTGAGCAAATGCACGTATATATGTGTGCACACACACGCAGTCAGGAATCAGCAGATGAGGCTGTTACACATGCCAGGAAGTTCCATTATGGGCAGTCACCAGGATGGAGGCCCAGCAGAGCCAGGGATGCAGGCAGACCAGCGCCAGGGCCTGAGACCCAGGAGAGCTTACGCGTAGGTCCAGTCGGGATCCAAGGATCTGAAACCCATGGGAGCCGTGGTGCAAGTCCAGTCAGTGCCCAAGGCCTGAGAGCTGGGAGATCCCACGGCCGAGTCGGTGGTATCTGCAAGGAGTATGAACTGCCTGCCACCCAAGAGGCCCCTGCTGCCGGCATGGAGGACACGGCAGGCAAGGTTCCCATCTCAGTGAGAGCCGAGCAGACCCAAGTTTCAGCTCCCAACTGTCAGGCAGAGAACGATGCCCCTCCCCCCACACTCCCGCTCTGCTCAGGCTCCGACACTCTGCTCTGGAAACCAGCAGTGATCTCACCAGGAAATACTCTCATGGACACACCCAGAAGCAATTTTTGACCAAAACCCCACACCGCACGTAAAACCAACCACCACACTCTATGGTGTCATGCAACACTACTCCTCTAGGAACTTTTCGCATCCCAAACGCTTGCACACAAAGACGTGCTAAGTTCACGACACATGTGTTATAGTTTTCTTCACTTGTGTCTGTTCTCAGAGAACTCTCCTAGTATTGGAAACGTTTTGTCCCAAAGGGAGCAGTGGAGCTGTTTTCCCACGGTGCTGCATTTCCCATGCTCCATGGTATATACACACCATGGGTTACGGACATTCATCAGTGACGTGTTTGGGCTACTGGTAACTGTCTTACTATTTATTGCTTTGCTGACCATGTTCTGAATACCGTGTTGGACTTCTCAGACATACACATCACACGATGACAGGAAGCTTCCTCCCTCATGCCCCGAGCATGCGACATGGGCCTCGTGGCTGAGAGGCAGTTAGCGTACTCTAAAGAATAATGCAACTTTCCAGCTCCGTGACTAGGAGCCCACTGAACCATCTCGAAAACCATCCTGTGTCTATGCCGACAGCAACGCTGACTGCTGACGAGCACAGTGCTGTCCCTGGGTGTGGGGCAGCGGGGGCAGCAGCGACACAGCCCTGCCCCTCACATGTGAGTCATGGGCCTCAGGCAGGCTCTCTCTTGCCTAAACTGTGACAGGCAGTGGCCAGGTAGAGAGAGAAAGTGGACACATACAGGCCCTCTGAGGTTCCAGGTTCTGGAATGGCACACTGGGCCCCCAACACTTACGTGGCTAAAGCCAGTCTGATGATCCAGCCCCACCCCAAGCACAACTAGGTCAAGGCAGTGGCATGCTAACAGGACAGCAGGCACCCTGGGAGCACTCCAGCCTGCAACGTCACCTGCCTGCGTAGCAGAGGTGAGGACAGCTCCTGGCTGCCAGGTCACAGAACGGGCAGGCCTTGGGGTGCACGTGTGGCCCCACCGTGATGACCACAGTGCTCCCAACCCCTTATTGTGCTGTGTTCAGGAGCCCAGAGGGGGCCACTGCTGCTTAACTTGGCAAACACACACAATTTTTCTATGTTGAGTTGAGTACCAAAAAACAACTAAACTGATAGGGCCAACACTACAGCATTATCAGGTAAAGCTGCCGCCTGCTGCACCAGCATACAACACGGGTGCCAGTTCAAGTCTCGGCTGCCCCACTTTCAATCCAGCTCCCCCCTAATGCCCATGGGAAAGCAGCCGAACATGGCTCAAGTGCTGGGGCCTCTGCTCCCACAAGGGAAACCAGGAAGAAGCTTCCGGCTCCTGGCTTCGGATCTGCCCAACTCCAGCTACTGCGGCTGTCTGGGGAATGAACCAGTCGATAGAAGATCTCCATCTCTCTCTCTCTCTCTCTCTCTCTCTAGCTCTTTTAAATAAAAGTATAAAAAATAAAAATAAGAAGTAACTAATTTGAAGCACAATACATTTATCGCTGAGTCTGGGGATCTTTAAGCTGCAAAGGACTTAATTAAAAGCTGATGATTTAATGGGCAGCTTCCATCTACCGCGTACTCTGGGGGGTGAGATTCAATCTACAATCAGATCTCTGATTTCACTTTGGAACAGCATTCTTGTCAGTGGCTGGCAGAAAAGGCCCCAAAGGAGCCAGACTTGTCCCTGAGCAGAGAGCACTGAACCAGACAGCAGCAGCTACTCAGAGTTAAAGTGCAAAGATGTTTTGGGCCACTTGTTCTGGGAGGTCTGGGCATTTGGTTACAGACATTTGATTGTGTATTCTCACCCCTTTCCCATGACAGATGTTCTCAGGACATTCACGTCTTTGGACAGACAGGGCCTGCACTCCTTTTAGATAGCATCAACCTTCCTGAAGCAACAAAACATTTGCTAACAAAATACTGCAAAGCTAAGAACCCTCCGTAGTTTTCATTTTACCTGTAGACTGATGGTGAGAGAAGACACCATCTCTCAGAAGAAGGAGGGTCACCCTGCTGGGTTAAAAATCTCAAGGCATCACGCGGCGAGGGCCCGAGTCGGTGCTGCCTTGGCGAAGGCTGCCTGTCCGCGCGGTCCTGCTGACTGAGGAAACCTGCTCCTCCCACCCGCTGCCCAGCTGACACAAGCACGCCCAGGACTCCACACCCCGCTGCCAGCTCTCAGGGGAACTACAGAACACCTCGTCCAGCTCTGGACCTACAGACTGACCATGGGACGCCCTTAAACTGCGAAGGATCCGGGCTTACGGATTGGAATCTGTGGAACTGTATTCCTCCCTCAAGGATGAAAGACCCAGTGAACGCACCATGCCAGCTTGGGGGTAGTGAGGGGGACTCACGTTACAGCACAGTTCATCCACACAGCAGTCACCGCTGTTTTTAATATGGGCTTCGCTTTCCTCGTAATTCTACTTTGTGCAGCATTAAAAGCATTGGTTTTCTACAAATGCAACCTCACTAGTTTGATTGCCAGAAAAATGTGCGTGTTATATTAGAGGCAGAAGATGAAGATGATGTCTTTTAACAACAGGCCAGTGGAAGTGCCCAGCTCTGATGCGTCCATCTTTGAAGGCTGATGGCCTCGGTGTGCCCCGCTCACTGGCACCACACACTGCCGATGCTCGCTGGGCCACACCATCAGTGGCAAAGATGAAATTCAGGTTTTCTTTGTAAGATTGACATACATTCAAGAGGTCCCTGCCTAGGCCAATGTGCCACAGCGTTTCCCCTCGGTCCTCCTCCAGTCATCAGAAGGTTTCAGGTCTTAGGTCTAGACCCTGAGATCCACTGTACATTGATTTTTATACAGGGTAAAAGGAAGGGGTCCTGTTTCGTACTTCTGCAATGAGAGTCTCCACCTTTCACTTGTAGAGCTCTGTGTTTACAGGAGCACTGAGCTTACCACTATAAAGGAACAAAGTTTACTGTCACCACCAATTGAAAGAAAAAAAGGAGGAGGGAGAGGGTAGGGGGGAAAGTACCACTGTATTCTTGGAATCATACCTTTGAGACTCATGACATCGGCTCTCTATAAATTAATAGATCAAAAAAATGCAATAGAACAGATTCCTGATTTCCAAGAGCGGCGTTCATACTTTTAAGTCTCTCCAAATGAAGCAGCTTCACATGCGTGAAGTCACAGAAAATCAAAAGGGCTTTATGAGTCTGTCCTCACTGAGGCAGATTCTAATTGCCCCGACCTTGCTCTTACAATCCCACGGTCGCTGGCCGTGCTGGGGCCTACAATCTGAATTCCCCAGCTGGCTTCCAGGCCCCCTGGTGTGAGCACCAGAGCATGGCATCGCCAGCGCATCTCGAAAAACAGTCAGCCTTTCACAGCCGCCAATTTCACTGTATCTTAAAGGAAAAAGAAAGTCTGCCACATTGCAGGATGAATAGTAATAAAGGCAATACCCAGAAAAATGTCCAGAGAAGGCACACAGTTGGGGATGCAGAAGGAACGGCTGCACTGAACAATTCAGAAAGAAGCTCAAAGCATGCTTCTGCCTCTTACGGGCCAGCCCCTGCGTGGTGCATCCTGGGAGTGAGCACCGACTGTTTGCTCACTGTACTCACCTGCTCAGGGTGAACCACAGGTGTTTTCTCCCACATGCCACTCAGTGGCCCCTCAGGGTAGGTATCAATGTGTCCTTCGCTGTGGCAACGAAGACACACAGCACAAAACAAGGAAGCCACTTCATTCTCCACACACAGCACTGACAGTGGTTTCTTCTGAGGACTGAGGGAGGCTGGGAGCCAGGGCCCTCTCCCGGCGCCTGGTGGCCTCCTGTGTTTGGCGCTTGCTCAGAGTGTTCCCCCTGCACCCTCACACCGTCCCCTGTGCTCGTCTCTGTCCAGTGTGTCCCAAGGCTGGACAAGGGCCCACTCTGATGACTGCATGCAAACAAGGTCGCACTCACACATGCTGGGTTAGGACGTCAGCATCCTCTGAGCGCAGCACAGATGAACCTGTGACAGAGGGTAGACTGAAGCGGAAGCTTCCGATGGATTAATCACTGAGCAGGAGGCAGGGAGACACGAACGACATCCATGGGACCACGCCCTCGAGTGCTCACGGGGCAGTGACTGCCAGCTGAGCTGTCTACGAACAGCAGGACCCATCGTGGTGGCACAGTCCCACAACAGCAAACCTTACAAACTGCAGACCAGGCCTGCTCTTGTACATGGAGCTTCATCAGTACGCGCTACTGTGTCTGTCATTCCTGTGCTACCCACGCTGCTTCTCCCCGAGAGGGCTGCGCTGTCGTGGCGACGACGACACGGCTCACAAAGCGGAATGTATCTATCACCCATCTCCCTTTCCAAAGCTGGTGTGCTGGTCCCTGTGAGGCAGCCGCGAGAACTGAGCACAGGCCAAGGTCAACGGGATCAAGAAGGAATCTCAGAGACAGACTCTCAGGAAACAACAAGTTCAGCACAGAGGATTACATGTGACCCTTTGACAAACCAACAAAGAAGTACAACTTGTCTGTGTGTTTCCACACACCCGTGGCACCTGCACGTGCCAGAACACAGTGGCTGGACGCGGGGTCTCAGCGCTGGCAGCTGGGCCATCCAGAGCACAGGGAGTCGCATTCCGGCACTTTGCACTTTGTCTCTGCGTGAAACTCACGGAGATTCACACTCATACTCAATGCTCTCTCTGAACACACAGAGTGGTAGTAAAACATTTAAAAATTAATCCACATTAAAAACAACAAAAACAAGTTTAAAACAAAGAAAAACCCAAGTAGACAGGGAGCTGTACATCCAGGGCCCCTGTCCAGTGCAGAGACTGCTGCCAAAGCGCGTCTGGGGCGCACAGGGGCCACTGCTGTGCGGCCAGGCAGAGGGCGTGTGAAGCTCACCAGATTTCAGTGAGCCAATGATTGTATCAACTACAAGCTGGATTGGCTTCCTTTGTGCACCTGGGGTAGTGGCCAGAGTGCTGGAGGCCCCCACTCCACTCCTGGGCTTCTCCGTCCAGAACACGTGGCAGCGCTCACGGTGCTTACAGGAAGCCTAAAATCACGGGCCTTACTCGCGCCGGCTTTGCTGTGGCAGGGGATCCACAGCGCCTGCGCAAAAGCAGGGGTTACACGGCCCTCACACGCTCACCTGGGGACTGCCTTGCCGACTACGACCTCCTAAAGCTCTGCTTTAATGTTGTAGACCTGAGAAGATGTGGGAAGGAGACAAAATCACTTCCCAAATCAGCTGTCCCCAGATGCCACGGTTCTGCTGGAAGGCACCTCCCTCTGGTGCTGAGAAAATACCAGACACTGTCCATCAAGCACACAGTTACAATGCTCAGGCAGGCCAAATCAGCTCCGAAGTCTAGGCTCCCAGCAAGCAATCTCCATCAAATCCACTTTTCAGGACACTTGGGAGGTGTTTTAATGCCATTTTTTAGACATTCATATTCTCAAAATACACACAGTAATCATAAAATAATTCAAATATCATTTCTAATACAATCATAAACTTTTTATAATTTTTCATAAATTTTTAAACTTTTATAAATTATAACATTTTATGTATAACTTTTTATAAATTTATAAACTTATAGACATAACTTTATAAGTTTATATTTATGTATAATTCATATTATTTTTATTTAATATTTATATTAAATTATATAAATTGTTTATAAATTATTTATAATATTTAAATTATTTACATATTATTTAGATTTATTTATAATTATAACTACAAATTTATAAACTTCTTATAAGTTATAAAATTTATAAAAACAAGCAAAGAGAGTCATCCAAATTTGGAAGACCTACAATAATCACATTGCTATCTGTGTTTACTACTTAGGAATTATCAGCTCAAACATACATTTCAGATTTTGGAGGGTTTTCAAACAAAAAATAAAGTTTAGATTAGGATATTTATTAAATGATTATCTGCCTAGAATTCAAACAAATATTTAAGCAAGCAGAACTAGCACGGGGAGATTGATTCTCTTGTTTGTGAGATTAAGGCAACAGACAAGGAAAAGCCAGCAATCGACATGAATATTTTTAGACAAATTAACTCTTCCTTAATATTCCAGAAATTATCAGTGTTGCACAGCTGCAAGGTGGGGATCCTTTTTCTGATTCTCTCAGATCTGAGCAGCCTCCAGGGAAGAGGACTGAGACGCTGCCCTGGAAAGCCCCTCTACAGGGTCTCTATTTCAAAGACCAGCTCCTCCTTCCTGTGGTGCCCATGGTGGTGAGATCGGTGCATCCCACCAACCCGAGCCTGATCCACACACCCACGTGCTCCTGGACGGGGTGGCGTGTGCACTGCCCACCTGTCTCATAGCTGCACATCTGTGGCTACAGGTGGCTGGTGATGCATCCCTGTCTGTTTAGCTGGGGTGGGAACAGGTGAAGCAGCGCTGGTAACAGCGGCACTTCATTCACGGAGAGGGCCTCCCAGTGAAGGCGAGCATTTTCCAGCATCAGCTTGAGACTTCCTGGCTGCATCTTCAAGTCCCCCGGGTGGACCGCGTGCATGCATCTGGGCCTCTGTGTGTGAGCCGCAGCCCCTCCCCTTTCACACTGTCACCACTCTTCCACGGGGGACCACCCAAGGAATTCTGCCGAGCACCACGGAGCAAGGGCACAGGCCCAGCGTGCACTGTGTGGACCTCGGGCTGCTGAGAGGGTGATGCAGCGGCACCCATTCTAATGCCCAGGAATCTTAGAGCCTCGCAGACGCAAGGCAGGAGTCGCATGCAAGGGATACGCCCCAGCACGCTCACTGGATGCCTCATCCTGTGGGTGAAACCCAACCCTACAAGTACTGTTTTCTTCTTATATATCCCTGCCTAGGATGAAGTTTGATGTATAAAGTAGGTACATAAAGGAATATCAATAATAATAAAATAATTATAATACACTGTAATACAAGTTACTCAAAACTTGAGTTGTTAATATCTCGATTTTCCCATGAAGTAACGCTCTACCCCCACTGACCGCAGGCATCTAAAAGCCTGAGATCAGGGGTTGAAGGAGAAAGGGAGTAACTACTGCCGAACCTGGTGAAGCCCTACCTGCCTCCAAGTTCCAGCGTGAAGATAACAGCCAACTGACACATGCTTTGACACCAGCTCAGTCATCTCCTGACTTCTGACAAGATACTTTGTTCACCATCTGGGTGTCTGGGAGGACTTGAGAAGACTCCTAAGGGACAAGGTAACCAAGAATGGGACAGAGAGGCCCAAGCCTGTATGGTACTTAAAGTGAAGTCACACTGTCACAGCTGTGTTGTAATGACAGTGAGGTCACAATGTCCAGCACAGGAAGACAGCCTCTCTGGAGCACCCGCAGTGAGGTCATGCTGTCCACCACAAAGTGGGGCACACACTGTGAGTTAACAGTCTCCATTACAGACACAGGCGCTCTGTGTGCTGTGAACACACTGTGAGTTAACAGTGTCCATTACAGTCACAGGCGCTCTGTGTGCTGTGAACATACTGTGAGTTAACAATGTCCATTACAGTCACAGGCGCTCTGTGTGCTGTGAACACACTGTGAGTTAACAGTGTCCATTACAGTCACAGGCGCTCTGTGTGCTGTGAACACACTATGAGTTAACAGTGTCCATTACAGACAGTCACAGGCACTCTGTGTGCTGTGAACACACTATGAGTTAACAGTGTCCATTACAGTCACAGGCGCTCTGTGTGCTGTGAACACACTATGAGTTAACAGTGTCCATTACAGTCACAGGTGCTCTGTGTGCTGTGAACACACTGTGAGTTAACAGTGTCCATTACAGACACAGGCGCTCTGTGTGCTGTGAACACACTGTGAGTTAACAGTGTCCATTACAGTCACAGGCGCTCTGTGTGCTGTGAACACACTGTGAGTGAACAGTGTCCATTACAGTCACAGGCGCTCTGTGTGCTGTGAACACACTGTGAGTTAACAGTGTCCATTACAGTCACAGGCGCTCTGTGTGCTGTGAACACACTGTGAGTTAACAGTGTCCATTACAGACAGTAGCAGGCGCTCTGTGTGCCGTGAACACACTGTGAGTTAGCAATGTCCATTACAGACAGTCACAGGCGCTCTGTGTGCTGTGAATACACTGTGAGTTAACAGTATCCATTACAGTCACAGGTACTCTGTGTGCTGTGAACACACTGTGAGTTAACAGTGTCCATTAGACAGTCACAGGCACTCTATGTGCTATGAACACACTGTGAGTTAACAGTGTCCATTTCAGTCACAGGCGCTCTGTGTGCTGTGAACATACTGTGAGTTAACAATGTCCATTACAGACAGTAGCAGGCGCTCTGTGTGCCGTGAACACACTGTGAGTCAACAGCATCCATTACAGTCACAGGCGCTCTGTGTGCTGTGACTACACTGTGAGTTAACAGCATCCATTACAGTCAGTCACAGGCGCTCTGTGTGCCGTGAACACACTGTGAGTTAACAGCGTCCATTACAGACAGTCACAGGCGCTGTGTGTGCTGTGAACACACTGTGAGTTAGCAATGTCCATTACAGTCACAGGCGCTCTGGGTGCTGTAAGCAGAAAGCACTCCCACCAGAGAGCACTCCAGGCTTTGCTGTCGGATGTGCCAACCCTCGGCAGCACCCACGCGAGTCCCAGGAAGATGTGCGCTCCGTTTCCCCCACTGCAGCACCCACGCGAGTCCCAGGAAGATGTGCGCTCCGTTCCCCCCACTGCAGCACCCATGCGAGTCCCAGGAAGATGTGCGCTCCGTTTCCCCCACTGCAGCACCCACGCGAGTCCCAGGAAGATGTGCGCTCCGTTTCCCCCCACTGCAGCTCAGCCGAGGATTCGCGCTGTCGTGCAACCCTTCACTTTCTTGCTACCTTATTGTTGTGACACTCGTGTTCTTGATATCTTACTTTCATTGTATTTTAGGTATTCAATCTGTTTTATGTATCATTTTTGGTCAATTTTTCCATAAACATTAGATTTTTATTGCATACAAATTAGGAACTCTCTTGGTAGCTGAATATTAAAAGTGGTTTCTATCTAATATGTGTACAAGTTATTGCGGGCCATTTAGTTTCTCTTTGCTTATCTCTATCGTCTTCATCCTCAGGAAGCAAGGTGTGACTGCGTCGTGTTTACCCACGCCCTTTCACAGTACTGGGATCACAGCGGCAGGCAGTGCAGGGCACTGATAACAAAATCTCCACTGGAGACACCCAGGCCAGCGGAGAAACCCATGGCCAACAGGAAGCTTGTCACTGCGCACGAAGTCTCTGTCCCTTCTGGTAAGGGCAGTTGTGAATTGTTTATATAACCACCACATAACAACTCATTGACTCCAAGACTGTAAAGCACTCCATTAATGTTTTAAGCATTTCCCTTTATTCTCACATGTGTAAATTATTTAGGCAATGTTAACATGTTTTATGTTTCGAGTAACAAGCAGAGGAAGCATACATCATATTTCATTTTAATTGGCTGTTTACCTTATCCCAAGGAAATCATACATCTATTTCCGACATAGTTCACTGTGCGTGCTCCCTGATAGGTCCCCATGCCTCTCCTACATTTGATCTAGTCATGAAGACACGTGACTGTGAGATGTCAGTGTCTTCAACAAGAAACTGCACTCCCACCCAGAGGCAGGCCAAGTATTTGCTGCTTCTCCTTCCTCCGTGTCATTCATTTGGCCCCAGATAAGTGAACCCCATGTCACGGGTTTCTTGTCACTTTACCTCTGTCCTCAAGGACAAGTTCATAGTTCAAGGTCATCAGTGAGAAACTGCCCAGTCTGGCCACATGCTCTGTAACTGCATGCACACCACAGACGAGGAAGGGCTCAAGAGCAGCACCTGGGAGCATCCTCATGGCTCCTCGGAGACCCACCCTGCGGCTAACAGATCACCTGTGATCAGGCAGGCCTGGGCAGGCACAGGAGGGCAGGCCTCTCTCGGAGTCCTACTGGGGGAACATGAAACGGAAGCTTCCAGAACCCCCTCGGATATGTGCGTGTCCCCTCCAGGTCAACGGCGCTGCCTTTGGGAGACTGGACCCGATGAGTCAGCACTGCCCCACGAAGCCTCTGTGCAGACGTCCAGTGAGGTCAGAGGTGCTGGGCCCAGCTTCCCGGAGTCAAAGTCATCACCACAGTACAGTGAGGTCAGAGGTGCTGGGCCCGGCTTCCAGGAGTCAAAGTCATCACTACCAGTACCATGAGGTCAGAGGTGCTGGGCCCGGCTTCCCAGAGTCAAAGTCATCACCACAGTACAGTGAGGTCAGAGGTGCTGGGCCCGGCTTCCCGGAGTCAAAGTCATCACCACAGTACAGTGAGGTCAGAGGTGCTGGGCCCGGCTTCCCGGAGTCAAAGTCATCACCACAGTACAGTGAGGTCAGAGGTGCTGGGCCCGGCTTCCCGGAGTCAAAGTCATCACCACCATACAGTGAGGTCAGAGGTGCTGGGCCCGGCTTCCAGGAGTCAAAGTCATCACCACAGTACAGTCTATGTGCAATGGCTGTTCTTTC